ATAATTTTATATAGATTATACGGGATGTATCTAAATAAATACGAAAAATTTTGGGAGATGATTCTTTGTCAAAAATTAAGGGAAATTTCTTATACAGTGTCCCATAGAAAATTGCTGAAACTAATCAGCTGTCATTTTTTAATGCATGCAGTTATTGAGAAAACAAAAATTGTGTTGGAAAGAGGAAAGTCTACAGTTTTTAATGGATCTAAATAAAATGTTTGTATACCAGTTTATTTTATTGATAAAAAGTAATAAAAAAAATGCTAATAATCGCACTTATGCAAATACATCCTGCATACAAAAAAAAAATGTCTATTTTTTATATTATTACATTTTCATAATTTATGATTATAATAGCTCTATTACACTATGATCGTGTAATTTCCACGTACGCGCGCGGGCGTAAACAAATTACATAATTTAGCATCGGCCGATCTACGAGTGTACTCATAGCGGGAGATAATATTCACTCTTGTTGATCGATTACAGCGTGTCGGTGTAATGCGTATCGACCCCCGTATATCCTTACCGTACGATCGGCCCGGGCACTTTGTTGGTACCGGCGGCGTCGCCCTTTCTCACGAAACAATTCCGCGCGAGGTCGCACGAAAACACGCGCGTGGAATTTCTAGCCTGCGCGAGTTCAACGCCAACGCAAATTCTCAACTTCAGGTTCGTCCTCGTGTAGAATTCCGCTCGCTCGCGCCGTGTCCTTCGCGCGCGAACGTTGTTCTCCCATATAAGGGGTGCCTCGCGCGAAAGCAAGCAGAAGCTGGGGGGTCTCGAGCCGGGTAGTTTGAGGCCGACAAAAGTTACGCGGCAGCGCTCTCGCACTTACTGATTAAACGCTTCATTCCCGGTGTCGAACGAGTCTCGTTCGGCGGCAACGCAACCCCGTAATATTGCCCCGACGATGCGTAGATGAGATATACGTGTGATTCGACGTTAAAAGAATAGCGGGTTAGAGTTGAAACACAATGCGGTAGGGTATTATAATTTCCACAGATTGTATACAAGACGGAGGCGATGAATAGGTCGGAACAATAGCAAGTACTAATCTGGCCCTAATTGCTAACTGGACTCTTCATAGAATGAGTAATATCTCTTGATAAGATCCTAGATTTACAGTAAACAGTAATTGGAATATTAAATAGCTTACTGCGATTCTTATAGCGAAGCAATTTTAATATTCTTGAAAGATGCACTTTCATTAGTAGAGCGTTGTTGCAATAATTAAGAAAGATATGACGTAAAAGTCATTTTAAAATATATTAGTTGTCCCTGATAAGATAAGTTATTCTGAAACATCGCGAATATTTATCCTGTTATTTTGTAACATGACAAATGCAATAACGATTTGAAGAATTAGAAGCAACAATGAAATAGCCGGAACTTTGATGGCAAAACTGTTAAAAAATTGTTAGAGTATGAAATAATAAAATATTATTCTTCAATTAATCATGATTCCATTATTTGCTTTTTCCGAATAATATGTAAACGATCTGTTTTTTAACATTTAATTGAAAAATAATTATAGTTATAATATAAGAGTTCTACTATAATCATTACAACTTACTATAATTACTGATTGAGACCAGACATCTCTCTCTAATTATAGAGGCTTGATATCAAGGCATTAATTTTTGTATCGACTTGCACACCTGTGTTTCAAAGTCCGTCGACCATGCGATCAATCAGAAACAACAAATTCTTTGGGCTCGCTGCGTGTAGTTTAACGTGATATGGTTCCGACTGAACGATCCTCTAAAGTTGTAACCGCGAGATTCCTCGAGTCGGACAAGAAAGGAGAGCCGTTATTTTTCGAGGATTCTTTTCCCAGGTCACAGTCGAATGCAAACACTCTCGACGAACTTTTTTATTTTCAAACCAACATTTGCTTACGTCAAATTTATATTATTCTATCGATGACATGACTTTACAAAGCTTTCTCTGCAGCACATTCCACTAATATGAGCATAGAAAATTAAAGCTCGAAATTATGAAAAAAAATCAATAAATTGTATTCAGTCGTAATGAACTTAAGTAATTCAGTACATCTCTCAAAATAAATCGGTTTCATTATATTTTAACAAAAAGGTCGCGAATAGATGACGCACAATAAATATCACGACGTGCATTTACACACGAACATTTCTATGTCCACCAATTTAAATTCCGCTTAACGCCTCTTTTGGCCCGGAGGGAGTACATCTGATAAGCCTACGCGCATAATTTTCAGAGGAATCCCTCACACCCTCCCCTCACTTCTCCCCCTTCCTATTCGTGGGACGCAGTGACGCGCGAATAATTTAATAACACATGCTCCCGAGTCGACATATCTTCGCGAGCTTTCTCGTACTCGCAGTACACGAGGAGGAGCCCCCTAACATCGTGTTTGTGGAAGGTATAATTGATGCAGGACCCAGCCGGAGATCGCGTTTGCCCTTAAGAGTTTGGAACTGGGTGGAGAAAATATAGGTTGTCTTCGTTATACCCGGCCTTTTGGTGCGCGCTCGGTCGCCCGCGGTGCAACACGAGGATGATATATTCGCTGCAACTGCAGCTGCGCCACGCAGGCTCGAACGACGCGATGGCCGTTTCGTGAGATTTCGAAATTGCTTGCCTCATGCCTTTTTCGCCTCGCGAAAACAATAAGGCGTATTCCTCGTCAAGCCTCGTGGGTGGACGCGTTTTTCTTATTAATGTATGCAACGAACGCGTCGAGAGTTCATAAGTCATCTTCGGGACTTCTCTCGCGCTTATCTTCGTTCCTTCACAATAATAATAAAATATATAAAATAATAAAATATAAATCTCCATATGTGTAAGTTTGGAGATTAATTTATATATGGAACTTTGTGATCTCAAACCAAGAGATACAGTTCCGATTAATTAATTTTTCGTGCTCTGGCTCTGTTGGCCGATTTAGAAAACATCATATTTATATTCTTTATATTGAGAGCCAATAAAAATATTTATTTCTGAAATAAAATATAAAGTTAGCGACGTGTTAAATATATAAACACAATAGAGATCTTTAATAAATAATGCGAATACTTGAGCATGAAATGAAATCCAATCTTTACGTAATTTTATAGTAATTTACGTTGAGATTGTGCATCGATTAAAAAGTGAAGGGTAAAACAAAGAAGTGGAATTACTTTTCACGAATAAGGCATCTATAAAAATCTGAGTTTTTTGCATTCTGGACGAAGCGGTCACATGAAGCTCGGCCGGAGTTTCTTCGTGTTGCGCGAACGACTTAACTAATTAACGTTTTATGCGAGGCGACCGTGAAGAGGCGGCTTTTCTCGCGTGTGGCTGACTGGTACCGTTAGAACCGCGAACGCATCGGGAATCCAAAACGAGTATATATGGAGCCTGTTTACCATAATCAATGACTATATACGTTTTAGCATACGAGTCTTCATTGTTATCGCGAGATTCTTGAACTTGCTTAACAATATAGGTTCCTGTTGCGCGATAAATTCTCTCTTGATACTTCTTTACGCGATGCATACGCGGATAAATAATAGATTAGAAGCTACTCGGCGAAACGGTCAGTAAGCGCACCCGTTAGATTCCAAGTGTTCATAACGCGTATCATTGCCAATTGAATGGGATGTAGAGGGAAAATAAATTCAACGAAATTAAAGGATATGAATTATTCATATTGTTAGCGTAATTACACATATGTATGAAAAATTCTCTGCAAACATCGAAACTCAATTTACTCGAGATTACTACTACTACATCCACGATGGAATTAATTAATTTTCGTATTACTTGCGCGTTCGGATGCTTAAGATATAATTAAGAAATAAATCTCCCTCATTTATAAGACACTCCATATTGTCGGAACCGATCGTCGGAGCGCTCTGAACCGAACAACACGAGAGATCGACAAACCCTTCAATGACAAATAACCCTTGCACTTACCCTCGGCGAGTCCGGCCAATTGAACACTATCTCCACGAGAAAAGAGAGAGGGAGAGACCTGAATGCCCAGCGGCATGAATGCACGGCCTCGATCCTCCTCACGTCGATCCTGGTCCCCACCTTCGGCATGCGCGAGGAAGGAGACCGGTCTGCCGTTGCGTGCGCGATTCGCATTACGGCGCTGAATATTTCATTCATAAGCGGGCCGGAGCAATTACCGTATTCCACGAACGTGCGCAGAGACGTTCGCGATCGCGCTTACGTATGTACGTACGTGTTGCACCCCGCGGTAGTTGCAGCCGCTATTACGAGAGGGAGAGATGTGGTGAATGAAACGCGCTCACCTCTTTCCTTCCTCTTCTCTTTGTTTTCTTTACCTCCTTCCGTTTTGCCTTCCCCGCTTCGCATTCTTTTCCCTCTCTTCTCTTCTTATTTTAGCTTCTTCGCTTCGGCGTTTCTCGCAACCCAGATCGATTGACTTCTTGCATGCCAACGGAAATGACGGACTTGTGTCCTCTTGTCGATTCTCGCGCGAGACGAATTTGCGAGGTTTCGCAGCTGCCGGAGAACTGTTTCTAGTTTCAGTCGAAGATCGCGATCGAGCTAAGAAAAATACAGTAGTAAGGTCAACGAACAAGCGATTCGCAATCGATCAGAGTTTAGATGCCGCGAATTTCTATTAATAATCCTGCATTCATTTTTCTTTTACAAATTAATTACCGTGACCAAGAGTATGTATCGACAGTGTTATGCTTAGATGATTTTTAAATTAGCTATAGATAAAGATGAATCTTAGATAAGATGAAGATAATTTTGTTTGAAATATAATTGGATCACAGATATTATGTAATACATATTTTTATTATCCACATAAAAATAAGATAACGTCAAAACTTTATCTGGATCGTTTCTTTAATTTTATTTAGATAACAGCAAACACCGATCGATGACGTAAAATTGAGCTCTATTTCTATTAGAGAGCATATGTATCGGATGAATTTTCTAGCCCACGCGATTAGTTGCATAACATAACACGCTCTCGCAATTTTTGATTGCAGAACTTTCGGGAGCACCGCATTGACGGCGCCGCACTGCCGCTGCTCTCGGAGAATCACCTGACGGGCACGATGGGTATGAAGCTCGGTCCAGCGTTGAAGTTGCGCATAATGCTGGCCCGGAAGATCGGTGCCTGCACGGTCTGCCTGCATTGCGCCCACTGCCATCAGACGCCGCTACCCGCGCTTGGCGCGGCTGGCACGGCTGCCGCGGTGACACAACAGCAACAGCAGCCGCAGCAACAGCAACAGCAGCAACAGACGCCGGGCCGGCGACCCAGCAGCACCGGGAACTGACAAACAATGGCGGAGACTCCCCCACTGGGCTCCGAGACGGTGTCGATCGTCGTGACACCATCGTCGCCGTCTCCGGATTTAAATCGGGCCCTCAGGATAGAACGGCGCGTACCTCGACCGGTACGCAAGCCGGAAGTCGTCTTCAAGAAGCCTATCAAGCAGTGACGATTTCATGTACCAGGGAGAGCGGAGACTCCGCCTGTTGTGTCAGTGTGATCAAGAACTGGGAAGGAACTTTCTTATCTAGGTAGGAGAATTCAGACTGTATGGAGTTATATAGCCGAGACTAGACCGTAGGAAATGAGAAAGAGAGACTTTAATTGACATTGACGCGCATAAAGCGTGTATTGAAGTTAAGTACTCAAGAATAGAGATTTTTCAACGTTTTGTCGAGAATGCCGGAGAATAATGTAAAATCTAAACTATAGAGACCTGAACGATTGTAGACTAGTAAAAAAAAACTACGACTGCGACGACAGATTATGATGTAGGATTTGAATAACGCAAAATGATGGAGGCATGTTCTTTAATTGCATGCAGTAAAATTGATGATAAAAGAGTGAGACGAATTCAACTCTTATCATTTTTTTAACATTAACTGACTAACATTTAGATAGCTCTGAACAGAAAGATATTTTTATAAATGTGACATAAGAGCGTAACTATTGAATAATAATAATAATAATAGGTAAAAAAGAGAAGTTTTTAACTGAATCACACTATCGTATACATATCGTTATGAGAATAAATTTATATATGAGAACATTAATGAAATTATAACGATTTTTCGAATTGAATTGTTAATAAAAGCAAAATATATTTCGGGGCATTTACGCGGAATAATTCGAAATTGAACATTAATTTTTATTTATCATGGGGAACGAAAGATGGTATTAAATTCAAAAGAAATCAGTGGATAAAATGTATAATAAAATTACACCGGCAACAAGTCTTTGATAGAACGATATGTGTTGTGTGTGAAAAAATTTATAAAAAAATAATTATAAATTTTATAAAACTTGTGATCTGCATATCATGGATTCAGTACTTAAATAGTACATTTTGTAATGTAAAATATAGAGAATTAGAATCATGTATCGAACAAATAATTCATTTTTTATTAGCTTTGCTAATAGATTGTCTTCCACTATGACGTATTCATTGCAAAAATATATCGCGACAGTATATTTATTTAAAATTTCTATTTAAACATTTCTATATATTTTCTATAAAATCAAGTTTTTTTCTATATCTTAAGAAGGAAAGAGTGCAATTTATATCATATGGCAGAACTAATTATTTCTTTTTATTTATACTGACAATTCTTACAAAGTTTTTAAAATTAAATTAACTTTTTAGCTATATTTTTTTTATATATAAAATCACAATTTTTTAAAACTGAACATAGTTTATTTATCTATGAATAGAATAAAAAAATGATTACAATTGGACTAATAGTTTTCGAGAAAAAAGCGTATAAATACTGAAAAATATAAATTTTATAGAAAAGCAATAAGATTAAAGATTTTATACTGTTTCCATATGTTCAAAAAGTTTTTAAAATAGTTCTATATATAATTTATATATATCTATATATATTTTATATATATATATATATATATATATATATGTATATATTATATATTATATATATATATATTTTATATATAATATTTTATTTTTAATACATATTTAATTACAAAATATACATTAAATACGTATTAAATATATATATATAGATTTATAAAAATTATAGATTTATATTTCATTTTATTTAGTTTAAAATAAATAAGAAATTATTTTTTGTTAAATAAAACTAATTTCAATATTTTTAATTTGTTTAAAGTGCACTCTTCTTTTCTTAAGTTCTTTTCTTAAGTTCAGAATGTAATATATAAATAAATACATAACATAAATAAACACATCACACAAATAAATTTCTAAAATTTTATATAATAAATATTTTTGTATTTAAAACTGTATTTGGAATATTTGATATCGAATGCTAAAAAGCCAAACATTGTATTATTTTTTACGACAAATGCATTAAGATTAGCTTATGTTTATTGAATTATAATTGATAAAATTTTTTTCGAACTATCGGAAGACAGATAAGATAATTGAAAATTAAACAAACGAGTGCCTATCTTTGTAAAGTCTTCCAAGACGACGTCGTTGAGTGATTATATAGCGTGCGGATTAATCTTCGAGACGCATTGTATACCCATTGACCCATATAATATTACTCTCGATTACCTGAAAATCATATTTTTTGATCGATAATTTTCTCGATCGTTACGGCCGAAATCGTGTCTCCGAACGGCAAATGAAAAGTCGACGAAACGACAAATGATTTGATTTCGAAAAGAGAAGAAGAATGCATGGTAGAGAGTGTGGCGATTACATCGTTACATACATCCCGAAAAAATTTGCGATCGAAAACACTCATACGAATACAGACACACACATGCGAAAAAGTACCGAGACACAGGTAAATATATATAAAAACATAACAGACGAGTTATGTTCTTATCTTTCATAAAATTACTTCACGGAGCTGATCCGCAGGGGTAGAGCAAATCTGAGACAGAAGCGAGGAATGAAGATGAACGTCTCGATATTTGTCTCTGTGCTTCTCGTCTTTCGTCTCTCTGTGTCTCGTCTGTTATGTTTTTATTTATATTTACCTGTGTCTCGGTACTTTTTCGCATGTGTGTGTCTGTATTTGTATGAGTGTTTTCGATCGCAAATTTTCGGGATGTATGTGACGATGTAATCGCCACAAGAGGTACATATAGATATGCGTACACATATCGGAACGAATGCGATTACATGCGAGTGCGAATGGATGTAAATATAAAAAAAAATATATATATATATATATATATACATATATATATATTATATATAAATATAAAAAGAAGACGATATAAAATTATAGGGAGAATTACGTGCAATAACAATAATATGTTTTGATGCGATAACTTTTTAACTACCGTAGGAGATACGTATTTGCTCAAATCGTTATTTCTTTTATATATTTTAACGAAGTTTTTTTATATATATATGGATGAATTATTATCGATAAATATACTAAATTATATATTTTTGCTAACGCTCTACGTGCAAAAACAAAATCCACGTGCGAACACATATATTATACATAGTACACACACACACAAACACATATCAACACGTACGAACAAACAACGACAGTTTCACGTGCGATGGACTTGTATAGCTCTTAGAGAATTGTACATTAGCTCCCCTTTTACTTTGCTCCCCTTTAATCTTCAAATTTACATTGTAAACGTTTATTTATTTAGTTGTGTAGTACTCGTTGCCTTATTGTATTCACATAATAATTAAGAAATAAATGATGTTAGAGAGCAACGTCAAACTTTGCGCTTTACACACGTACCATTCATGAAAGAAAGCGAAGCATGAATGATGAATCAGTTCGTATAAGACGAGCAGTATTTTTTAGATTTAGCCACACATTTATTGCAGACTATATAAACATATATATATACATACACACACATACACAAACATGTATACACATCTAAAACAGCGTTTATATACATACGTCCGCGCTCCCGAGTTTGCGTTTAGCTTAAGAGAAAAATATGAAAAAAAAAGAACACAGCATTTCGAAAAATTCGATCAATCTACGTTTTATTTATAGGCAGCGGAAACGAATCAGAAATGACATTCGCGACATTTGAGAGAAGGAAATGTCATCGTATTTCCTGCGGCCGATTACACATGTCTGTTACTACTCGTAATACAAAATTACCAATGGTAATCAGACGTTGTAATCGCATACAACATTTACATTTGCTCCTGCCGTATGTAGAAAGATAATTGTAGGTTGAAGTATGTTAACGTGCCTATTATTTATAATTAGTGGTACGATATCTTTCAGAATACATATGTACATATGATAATGTGATTAAGAGAATTCTTCTTCGTTTGTGTCGTGCTTAACGAATGCAACATTCATTGATTAACGATAAAGTCCGATAAAGCGAAATATTTCTTTCTGTCACGTAATTATGACGAACTCGGGCGCGCTAACCGAGTTTAGCGGCTTTTACTTAAAACAAAAATCACTGTACATAACGCTTAAGCATTTATTTATGTCGTGCTTTTACAAATGCCCCGTAGTATTTTATTTAGTGTATTAGTCGCGAGGTTCACACGCTATTAATGCGTATTACGAGCATTATACGCATTAATTATTTCGTTCAGTATATTTGTTCGTCGAGAGAAAAAAAAGAGGTAAACGGACGAGCAGAAAGAATTAGACGGTAAAAGATGACAGATTCTTTCTCAGCGAAGGATAATTTAATTGCGTACGGATTAAAAGCTAGAGTGAGATGGTAAAAACCGGCGACAAAGCAATTTTTTTTTGTGATATTTCAAGATTTTCTCTGTCCATTCTTCGGCGTACTTTCTTATTAAAATCAATCAATTTTACGTTATGTATCCAGTCCATCTCACCTGATCTCCCCTTCGACTCTTTTTATTTTTCCATCGCGAGTCTGTCGTGTATTATCTTATGATTAACTGTCGTATCATGTATAGTAGAAATTAATGGTGAACAGAGGAAAAACACACAGTACATTGTTTCTGTTAAAATAAACTTTGTTGAAAAATAGCACATGTGTATTACACTGTTTTATTTTTTACCACAATCACAAAAAAAAATAAAATTTTTTTAGTCTGCAAAATCAAGCGGTATTACAAAGTAAGGTAAGTAAAATTAAAGCAATCAGAGGATTAATGTCATTTTATTGATATTACACTATATATATATTTTACTGATAATATATAATCCTTCCATTTTCATATAGTTGCCATAATAAGTAAGATAATTAATTTATTGTAATTTAATACAATATTTTTCATATATATCTTATTTGATGTTATACTTTGTATATTGTTTAATACACATAAGTAGTTATTATATAAATATATGAATATATGTATATAATATAATATTTTTAGAAGAAAATATTTTGATTTTTATCTTTCTCGTGTGATCAAATCTTCATTATTGTAACTTGGACTGTAAAGAAAAATCAATTATTAAAAATGTTATTTATTATTATAAACAGTTACAAAGTTGGTTATTAAAAGCAAGTAATTAAATTGCATGATTAAGCTCTATTTTCTATAAATGTCCTATTATAATAACTCTCATTTTGCAAAAATTCTTATTGCAAATATTAGTATCGAGAATATATTATTCAGACAAATTCTAAAATTAAGTTAGTGCGATAAGATGGATATAAGCAATGTTTCGATAAAAATGCATACTGTAAATATGAAATTAAACCAAGTTAATAAGTATTATATGAGTACTCGCATCGTGTTTAAAAAAATTAAATGACATAAAAAGGCATATTTACCCATTTATGAATAGCGAGTACACCGTCTTCTTCCCATGTCAAAATTTGTATGTAAGCCTTTCTATCTTCCTCCACCTTCACGATCTTACCGGTACACTTGTTGTCTATCAAATCTCCAGAAATGACGTCGCAATAATAACCGGGTTCCAGACAAGTAAAGATAGTCTGCTTCATGTCATAGTTGTCACCATTGATCGCGATAAATCCGTTATTTCCGCGACAGAAGGCGATTTGGTTCTGGCCATTGTCCCACCAATTGTCGATGCTGGTTTTATTCGCGGCATTTCGGAAACGCACCATGTTGTAAATCTGACGCCACCGATGCTCGCAGATCCAGCCGTTGCCGCAGGTATTATCGGAGTAGATGATCGGAGACAGGGTGTTTTCGTTGAGATCCTGAGGCGGACCTTGATTGAAATTGTCGAAGCCAAAGGAACTCATAACACGTGGGTTTCCATAAGGATGCGCCAGCATGAAAGCGACAGCCATCTATAATTATGTTTAATATTATATTTGCAACATAGTTAAGCTTTTTCAATTTCTACGAAAATTACTTGCCTTGTACAACCTCGATGACTTGTAGGTGAGTACTCCGGAATTTTCCCGTTGAGTGTCATGGTTGTCGATAAATACCAGGGCATCCTGCGATGGTAATAGACCCCAAGCTTCTCCCCAGTTCCTGAACCATTTCAATAAATTGTTTCCTTTAAAGGAATTGCTGATTTCCTTGCCATGTCGAAATTCTGTCACCGCAGCAAAACTGTTGTATTCGTATTTGCTGATTGCTTCACCACCGTAATCGATCACCTCTTGAAATATGTAAGGTCGCGCATTTGCGTCAAAATATTCGGAATTGAGATTCTTCAGCCGAGAGTAAATCTCTTTTAAATCATTCGGCCACATATGCTTAGCTGCGTCTACTCTGAAATTCAAAAATTCATGATTTTTATATTTGGCAGATTCGTACACATATCTCGTTTCACTATTTTTTTAACTTAAGAGAATATTATTGTATCTTTCTTGATACGTTAAATTAAAATAATAGTAAAATTATTGAAAAATATAAATATATATTGAATTAAATTAATAAAAATATATAAAAAATATAAATATAAATATATTTGGACAAAAATTTCGCAGAATATCGCGAAGAACATTTGAAAAATATTATAATGGGATAACGGAGATTGCAATTGGATTCTACATACCGAAAACCGGCCACTCCTACGTCGATGGCCTTGTTCAAGAAGGTGACGATTTTCTGCCTGACATATTCTTTCGACTGATCTAGATCGTGCAGACCAACCAATTCGCAGTTCCGCACGTTCGTCGCGTCCTGGTAATTGTCAATGGCGCAGGGTGTGTGAAAATCATATCGAGAGTACGGTACTGCCTGATAGCTGAAGTCGTATGTATTTGCTGTCGAATTGCCGGTACCCTTTGCGTCTTTGTGATCGCCGGTCATGTGGTTGAATACCACGTCGACGTAAATTCTTACACCGGCTTTGTTACATCTGCGAACCATATCTTTGAATTGGTCCGGTGTACCCGATCTCGTACTCCACTTGTAAGATATAGGCTGATAGCGCTCCCACCATGGTCTGTTGTCTATAATCACGTTTTCTTGTATCGGAGAAACCTGCAGCAATGCACAAAAATTTTAATTATTTAATTTTATTATTATTTTAATTATTTCTCTTATGCAAAAGATTGTGATTTCCTATAATAATACATTTTAGAAGAATAAATGTATAAAATAAAATTAATTATAATAATTTCTCATACAAAATCTTTTTTTTTAATTTCCAGATTTTACAAAAAAAAATTATAAAATTTTTCCTGAACGTTTTATGTCATTATCTCTTTGGAATTTTCTTGTAATTACTACTTATTTTAATCTAATTCTTTTAATATCGCTTACCTGCACACCGCCGAACCCTCTACGACTCAGAAAATTTTCGCACTCCGTTGCAATATCTGGCCATTTCCATTCGAAGAGATGCACCATTCCATCGCGGCCGCTCACATAATGCAATTCTTTCTGAGCGACCACCACCGCTGATAGTATTAAGACGCACACCAGCACATGCATTATGCACAATGATGTTGCCAACTATCAGTCACCAAGATATATAACGGTGCCGATCAGCTCGTCCGAAGGTCAATATTTGTTTTATTATGCATTCCACATGTGATGTTTTTACCCGGGAACTTCTATGACTTACATTGTATTGCGTCATTGACCAGGCTAATAAAGTACGCTTATGTTACGAATCAATTAATATCACATAAAACCAGCTGGCAAATTATTGTAGTTACAATGATGTTATCAAAATATTGATCGATAAAGTACATACAATGAAGGTTACAGCTGTTGTAATATATGCATTAGCGTTCGTTATCAAATTTTTGTCGCGAGAAAATTCAACAGAAAAGATCGTACTTCAATAAAAAAAATTTTATCGAAAACTTTACGAGAATCGGTATTTTTTGGACAAACATTTACTTAAGATTACATAAAACTCGATTTATTATGTAAATTACTAATTTTTCTATTGAGTTAAAAATAATAATTATATTATATAATCACACATAAAACATTATCATTTACTGAGAAAATATACTGCCGATAATAAACCGTACTGCCCTAAGTATTATATAACATATAAATGTAGTTTTATTTTTTTCATTAAAATAATTCCTTTAGATTGAGGTGAATAAGAAGTTTCCCTAGTTTTTTTATAATTTTTCTATAAATTCATAAAAAGAGAATGCCATCAAAGGGGTCAGTGGAAAAAAGTGAAATAAGAGGGCCTATAGTTAGTTTTAGAAATAAGGTAGATAGAAAAGCATTTGGTTGCTTATGTAAGTAATTAGTCATTTTCTTGTAGTTCACATTATTGACCTTTATGATTCGATAACGATAAGAGTCGTTACGTACATGTAATTCTACTTTAACGCATTCAAGAACGCTGACAATACTATCCTCTCTTCCTAATTTTAGAAAATAATATCTATTCAAAGATGTGTATGATCGAATGTGCAATGTGTAAATCATTACTAAATAATAATTATAATTTTATTGTAAAATATATAATATTTGTTCCTTGGGATTCACAGACCGCTTTAATTGGTGTGATACACTTTGACCCGATAATATGACAAATATCATCGTAAATTTTGTTCGTTTCTGATAAATTTATATTTGCGTTATCTTTAACATATAACTACAGTATTATACGATTGATAAACATTTGAAATGAAAATAGCGGCTGATGTATTGCAATTCTGAAAGCTGCACAATGCTTACATTCAGAGCTATTTTATCTTTACAATATATGTCAATGCCATCTTTTCTTAAAATCGCATTCTATTAAATATCGCCCTTATTGAGTATTTTTCACTGACAAGTTAATCATGTACTAAATTAGAAAGTATGTCACTCAATTGCAATAAACATTGAGATAAATATAGAGAAATGCGTAACGCTTATTTCGAGTAACATTTGAAGCATTTGACAATACGATGCCAAAGTGTTTTTCCACAGACATGATAAAATCATTATAATTTGCAAAATAACAAATTTCACTTTCATTAGCTTTAATTTACCTTTACAATAGTAGAGTAAAAGTTCATTTAAAATCATAATTGATTCGTTCAAGTTTTGAAAAATTATAAGAAACTCTTTCTGAATATTTCTCTGACTCAAAGTTAATTCCAATTATGACGTGTATTATCAAATATTTTGTGAGATATCTTTATAAATATAAGCATAGGTATTTTGATTTAGATAAAGCTAATAATATCTAAAAAAGAATTTAATTTATCTTTTGTCTCTAGAAAGACTGCCTATCTGAATTATCGTATTTTTATACAAATAATACATGTTTGTATTATTTTCAATTTTTAATAGACAGGAATTGCAAAGTGTATTTGTGTACACAATGTGATATTATCTTTATGAAAAATGCAATATTATTTATATATATATATATTTTTATTTAATCACACATTTACACTAGTGCAATCTACATAATTCTGTACTAATCACGTGCAGAAAATCATAAAATGTTGCTTTTTGAAGTTTATTAACCGCGCGAACATCACAGTTTCCTATAATTATACAAAATAAATTTAGATAATGTACTGTATATTCGTTATCTTTCCGTTTATCACCATTTATCGTACTAACCTGTGTATATGAAGAGCGAGCACACCTTCCGGGTCGGATGATAAAATTTCAATGAGCGCATGACCATCATCGTCAACATCCACCGACTTTCCGGAGCACTTGCCGTCAACTATGTCTCCCGTTATGACATCGCAATAGGTTCCGCGGGGCAATCCAGTTTGCAATTTTTCGCGAAGATCACCCTCGACAGCAAAGGCGACGAAGCCTTTAGAGCCGCGGGAGAAAGCAATCTGATTATTTCCATCACTCCACCAGTTCTGCAATGGTTCATTGTTGACCAGATTGCGGAATTCAACCATGTGATAGATTTGCGGCCATCTGTGTTCGCAGACCCAACCGTTGCTGCACTGACCATTGACGATTTCAGGCGAAATGATGCTGTCATCCGAATTCGCTGGTGGTCCTTGACTGGGATCAGTAAAGTTGTAAGAACTCATAACTCGAGGATGACCGTAAGGATGGGCGAGCATAAAGGCTATCGCCATCTGTGAATAATAAGAAATTTGTATTATTAAGGGTAGTTATCTAAAATAAAAGGTCTCTTCGTATTTATAGATAATATTATCTCGAAATATCGAACTCTACCTTGTATGGTTTCGGGTCCTTATATGTTAGAATGGTGGCTCCTCCGGCACCGTGGCCTCTCTGGTTATCATGATTGTCAATCATGACTAACGCGTCCTTAGATTCTAGCAATCCCCACGCGCTCGAATTGCTAAACGTTTGCAGTCTCGCCAATTTGTCTTGACCACGGAACATGCCACCCAAAATTATTCCAAATAAGAACTCAATGACATTTCCTAAATTGTTGTACTCAAATTTGCTAACAGACTCGCCACCGAGATCGATGACTTCTTGATAGATATAAGCTTGCTTATTCGATGAACGTTCAGATTTGGTATGCAAACAGTTTAGCTGGTTGTAGATAAACTCAAGATCGCTTGGCCACATGTGTTTAGCTGCGTCAATGCTACAAAAATATTTAAAATAAAAATATTGTTTTTTAGCACCTCTACATTAATAATAGTTATAAACTATTATGCTACTGAAGTCTGTTTATTAGCAGAATTCGCACAATTTTGTGAAGAGTTCTATTTATGACAGAAAAAAGGTTCAAAAATAATATAGAGAAAAGTAACGATATATTATTTTATAAGCAAAAAATTGCAATATATTAATTTTTGTAAATTATTATTAATATCCAATAACACTGTGAATTGTAATTAATTTGTGAGTTTTCTCAACAGGATCATAAAATCGTAAAGTTACGCCGAGTAAGAGATTTTCTATGCATTTTGCCGTTTTTACTGCATAAACTGCAAATTCCGAATACTTTTTATTTCACAGGCGGGATCGGTAGCTAACACGACTTTAGTTCAGAGGTTCAGCATCTCAGATAGCTATTTCCACACCGAATCATGAAAAATCGTTAATTAATTAATGCTTTTCAATTAAAATGTTGATCGTTCGCGCCTGAACATCGTAGAATTTAATCGCATCCGCGATCATCTCTGTATTTGCTAAAGGAGCTCTTCTTGCTACCGTATCGATGCAACACGGTAGCTTATGCACCTAAGGTCAAAGTTTATTGCAACCCGTGGAAAATGATGCGAACTGAGTAATGTTATTTCTTTGCGTTGTAATTTACTTGCGGATAACACGCGAGAAAAAGAGAAAGAAATAGTTAGAATAGAGTGAGTTAATTTATTTACGAGTTATCGAGACTCTACTATTAATTCACCAAGTTATTTAAAATGCTCGAACCCGGATTGCTGCATATTTATATTTGCTGAAAAGTATTTATTGCGAATCACACATGAGTATTAAAAAAAAATAAATAAAATTACTGCTGCAATTATAAAACAAATCCGCATAATTTGATAAATGTAATAATTAACGCAAAATTTGCTACGAGACAGAATAAAATACGTCGTGCCAGAAACGAATTTGTTTATTTTTCGCGTACCTATCGTGACTTTAACGCATTTTTGTACCCGTCAAGATTTCTTAATACACGCGATCAACGCCACATTCTTTTTCGAGATATGCGTGCAGGACACTTGCACGGATGCAGATGCAGGATGCGTAGCGCAGTGTCCGTAAAAACACGCATAACGCTCCGTTATCATTCCCGACGCATATATCGCTCTTCCGCTTGTAAAGCCACCGGTTCGGGAGATGGTACGCGAGATGGTACGATTTCGCTGCGGGTTACAATTACGAGCGAGATGCATAATTAAAAGCTGATGTCCCTCATTTATTAATGCTACCAGACGAGAGTCGGGCCTCTGCCGCGCGGCACCGCTCTCGTCCGGTTTAATGTTAAACATCATCAGTCTTCAGCGCATCCTTGATGCAAGAGGAACAGAGAGAAAAAGAGAAAGAGAAACAGAGATGATACTGCAGAATGCATCTCGCGAGTTTGTATGAAGGAGAGAGAGGTAGAAAATTTTATGTCTCATTCGTATATATATTCTATATATATATGTATATATCTGCAAAAAAATGTGCATCAATCGCATGTTGATATTGCGTGCAGATAGTGATTATCAATAAGCGCGATCGTTGTTACAAATGGCTTAATCAATATTATGGCTTTCCGTCTAATTAAGCTCCCCTAATTAGGCTAATTGCGAAAAATTGCGGATGATACATTACCGTAAACTTTGTTATCATTCAAAAACACGTTATTGAAAAGCAGCCGATATCTCTTAAAATTTTTTTAATATCCTTCAAGAATCGAATAATTTTTATATTAAAAAAATCTTTCCGTCAATGATTCGACATAAATAAAAAAATAATATTGAAAATCTATATAATTAAATATAGTTACCGTAAGCCAGCGACTCCAAAACCGATGACTTTATTGAAAAATTTAATGATTTCATTTCGACAATGTGTCTTGGTTTGATTGAGATCGTGAAGGCCGTTCAGTTCACAGTTTCGGACATTAGCAGCATTGTTCGTGTAATCAGCACTGTCGATTTGGCATATAGGTGTATGGAAGTCTACTGAGTTATATGGAACTCCCGGATAACTAAGCTTTTCTGGATTTGCTGTAGTGCCACCGGTACCATACGCGGGTTGAGCGTCCGCTGCCATGTGATTAACGACTGTGTCGACGTATATATTCACACCGACCTTTTTACATCTGTTTACCATGTTTTTAAATTCGATTTCGTTTCCGGATCGAGTAATAATTTTATAAGACATTGGCTGATATCTCTCGAACCAGGGTCTGTCCTTTATCATGAGATTTTCGTTTATAGGAGAAACCTACATTTATAAAAGAAATGCAAATTTATCTTATACTTTTTTTTAAATACATTAGAGTACGTATTTAGTAGTAGAAACAGCATTAAACTGTAATTTCTTATTTATCTCTCAAAAATATTTTACTGCAATATTTTACGTCAATGTGCACGGTATTAACAAAAATAATTTTAATACGTAAGGTAAGTTAGATGGATAATTTTCTGCTTATTTAATGAGGCTTATTCTCTGTTTACGTTTGATGTAATTTGCTTTCAAATAAATTGAGACAAAATACACGTGTGCCTGTGTATTTCCTAGTTCAAAACTGATTTAAAAAAATAAATTTTTTTAAATTTAAACAGAGAATACATACCTTGATACTGTTAAAAAAATAATATAAAAATGTTGTCATATCTTACAAAATTATTTTTTTTCGAACATTTTATCTCGATATTTTTATACTTAGATTATTTTAAAAAATTCTTTTGATTTGTGTAACATTATTTTATATAATATATATTACATAGAATAATATTTATTAATATATAATCTTTCATATAATAAAAACAATTTATGTTTATACATATTCATTATACATACTTGTACACCACCAAAACCTTTTGGACCAAGGAAATCCTCACATTCTTTGGCAATGTCATCGAATTTCCATTCGAACAAATGAACCATAGTTGTTCTACCATCCATATAATGCGGATCTTTCTGGGCGAGTCCGATCGCCAGGACAGATACAAAAGTTAAAATGAAGAACGACATTGTGACACCAAACTTGAGAGTCTACTGCGTTGCTTTCCGTGTGACTGATAATTTATAGTAAACTACATTGCTGATAAAATTTTTCCGTTATTACTTTATAGGATGATAGATGACAGTGATGCGATACTACAATGCGTCACCAGTTTACGTTAATAGAGTAAATCGATAATCGATAACCATTTGTCATTTTTTTCAAGGAAGTGGCACTAATTATACTAATGATCAAGATGATTACATTATAGGTAACAATGGTTATTATGGTTAAATATTGAAAAACTAACGATGCTATACAACCGCACCACATCGTGCAAACTATTTGGAAAATAGTGCGCAAAAAAAATATATTTGAAATACATACATTACATAAGATAAACTCTTCATAAACATTAGTCAAATTTCTGGAAAATTAGGCTGATTCTCTGCCTTTAAATTCTGTTCGTATAATATTGTTGCGAGAATCTTTGATTCAATTGTATCTTTTTTTTTTGATAGCGTCTGGTATCAGCTGTCTCTTTAAAAGGCCATTAACACTGGCGCGACAGCTTCAATAGCATATGGCACGATTGATAAATCGGGACAGACTAAATCTCGCGATATTTCATATCATAAACGTAATCGGGATGCTGGAAAGATAATTATTTGTGATGCGCCTGCCATCTGACGCTCCTAACGAGTAGAATCGATCAGGAAATAACAAGGTCGGCAGAGGCACGGGTGCGAAATGTCACGATAATGTTCATCGATCTTTTTGACGTAACAACCTTTCGCTTTTTATTTGAAATTATTTGTCTGCGATTTATCATCTCGTTGACCGCTCAGCATTTGCCACGCGAGTCTTGTGAAAATACGGTGGAGCAAGCATAAGATTACAATAGCGTAATCTATTGTATTATCAAAGTGTATTATTATGCAATGCAAGATTTACATAAAAAAAAATCGTGAATATCATTATCATCGAGCGTAGTGGAACTTGCAAGCCTTTTGTAAATCTGAGTATTATATTATTTTTTTCTACTATCTGAATATATCTATAATTATAGACACCTACAGACATTTAAAAATCATGAGGTAAAATAAAGAACCTTTTTGACATCACGTCTTTTTTTTATTTATACTTGGACTGATTTGGCTACGATATATCACAGTAGATAGATCGAACTTTTAAATAGAATTATATCGATCGCCAGCGAAAACTAACATTTCGGATTTTACACAATTTCATAAAACTCTGTTTTTCTTTCTTCCTGTTATAGCTTTAATTTTTGAGACGAAAGAATAATGTATTTAGAATATATCTTTTATATAAGATATATATTTTGCTAAAAAAAGGGAAAGGTATATGTACAAAATTAGACTAAATATTTCTTATAATTAATATATAAGATTTAAACTAAAATTACAACATACAATATTACATGTTCTCAAATCTGTATTAAACGAAGAGACTTTCTTTTATTTTGTGTGCGTTATTATTATAAAATTAAAATAGATATATATGGAAGATCAATAATATGATAATATTGAATTTGATTAAACACATAATATAAATCTGTATGATCGTCGAAGTAGCAAATTATAAAGAAATGATTAAATTAACACGTTTACTATCACTATTATATAATTATTTAATTTATTTTTGCCAGAAACATTTCATTTGAATTTTCTTAAAAAGAGTGACTTTAACAAGATAAAATCATCGAGAGAGGGATGTACAAAATTTTGAGCGCTTTTGTTAGAAATGTTAGTGGCACAAGCGCAAAATAGTTGGACGCGCCTGCGCGTCGGTGACAGTGAACATGTTAATTAGCTTTAATCGAAGTCGCCTTAAACGAGCAAAAATAATGTTTGCACGATACTTCGTGTTACATTCAGCTCCACTGTATTATCGATTAACATTATAACGAGGAGCTCGCCGCCGTTAGGTCAACGATAGTATATATTATATATATTATATATATATATATATTTTTTTTTTCTTTTACATATATATCTTACGTATAAAACAATAGAAATATCGCTGCGCGCACAAACAGACAACGGTACATAGATAGATAAATGTGTCCATACTCATAAACATGTCACTGACACCTACTTATCAAAGCTGCAAATATACAACAGTAATGAAACATTACTAATGGTGACAAACACAGCTGCGTTTAATGTTTTACACTTGACTGTAAATGTTATGTCATTGCAGTTTGATCTATGTTCTGTATTAAACTTCGCTCAAAAATTAAAGTGCTTTTATATATCTCATCTCTCTGTCGGACTGATTTTCAAACGTTGTTATCAAGATCGACGCGTGCGCGTGTAACCTTTAGTGCATTTTTTTTATTTACATCGGACTGAAGTATAACTTACTGTATGTAGTCGCATGCAATTACATCTAGTTAAACACTACGACAATAGCATTCGTTTTAGCGAAATTGATCTGGCGAGTATTCAGACTTCTGTTGCTTATCCGGACCATAGCTTTGCTACGATCTCTGGTTTCTGATTATTAATGGTGCAGTTTAAAAAAAATGAATTTCTTATCTTGTGTACTAATATGTCTAGGAAAGCGCCTATGGCAACATCGAGCTCTCCATGAGTCATTCGTTAGTGTCAAATTACCGTCCACGTTTATCCAGAAATGATATTGAATTTATTTCGTAACTTGGCTATCAGATCTACTTTTTTAACAAGCGTATATATATATATATATATATGTATATAGTATTTCTCTGAGATCGTTATTGTAACCACACTGGATATGTCCTATTAGTTAAGTTCAACAATAATATGATATCGTTAATTAACAATAAAAATTGTTCTCCGTTGGCCGATTTAGAAAACATCATATTTATATTCTTAACAATAAAAATGTTGAACAAAATCAGAATGTAATAAAAATAATTCAAATATAGTATGGGAATATGATGACATTTTATGTAATTTTTTTATGACAAATAATTCGAGACAAAGAATAATATAATTGCACGAAATAAATGATGAGTAAAAAATGAATTTAAAAGAAAATAAATAAACAAGAAAATAATACATGTATAAAATGCGTTTCTCTAGACGCATATATGTATATCTCATCCCAGAGATATCTCTTCATTAATTTATTTTCTCGCGATGATGCATCCGATTTGATTGAACGATACTATCGAGTGCCTGTCAACGATAGAGAAAGCGTGACGAACGAAGCAACGGATGCATTTTTGTTTACATTGCACATATTTACGCATTTTTGCACATTTTTTACGTTTAACAGATATACATATTTTTTCTCTCGCAACAATAATAATACAAGCGCGATTGTCATATTCCCACGACTGGTGGACAATCGAGCCTAATATGGAATCTCTCGATTTATTACATATCTAGAAATGTAGCCGACGCTCATCTCCACGGCCAAACACGCGACATCCTGATAACATAAAGCATCACTTGCCTCGTGGAAATGGAGAAACAGCTGAATGTATATACGCAACGATGTTTTTGGTAGTGCACGCGCGCTTCTGCGTCGGCATTAGAACGTTAAAGGATTAACACACGTCGATGTTTCCCTAAGACATAAAAGATAACTCCGCGGAGCCGCTGACGCGCCTCAATATATATCTTTCAACATGGATGGAGAAATCGTAGAGCCGTATAGACGCAAGGTCGTTCGAAACATCCAGACGAAAGCGACGAAACGAATCATCGGAATTTAGAATATGTGCGTTTTGTACAGCCAGACTAGATTCGCGCGGCCCTCGTGCCTCAGCACTATCCTGATGTAAAGTCCACCCACCGCCTCGAGCGATCGAACTCCTGGCTGCTCCTGCTGCGGTTGCTGTTGCTGCGATTCCTCCTTTCGTCGTTGCATCTTTCCATCCTCTTCTTGTTGCGCTGGCGTCTCCATTTTTCCCTGTGTCTGCTCCGCAAACGAGTCTTCTTCACGCGTTTCCTCTTCCTGTTTACGCAATCGCTCGGTATCTTTCTGTTCTTGCGACTGCTTATCATCTTCTTCATCTTTCAATGGATGTTGTTGGTCTTCCTCGTCTTTTTTCTTCGGCTGCTCTTCCCGCTCTTGCTCAAGCTTTCTTCGCAATTTATGCTCGTCTTCGTCCAGCTTCCGTTGCAACTGTTGCTCTTCTTGTTCCAGTTTTTGCTGCAACGCCTTCTCTTCTCGCTCTAATTTACGTTGCAGTTGCTGTTCATCCTGTTCCATCTTCTGTCGCAGCTCCTGCTCTCCCTGCTCCAGTTTACGCTGCAGTTGCTGTTGCTCCTGTTGAAGCTTCCGTTGTTCCCTGTCCTTCTCGATCTTCTGACGTACTTGCTGTTGCAGATGACCCGGCTCTTTTCGCTGCAACTGCGCATCTTCCTGCTTCTGTTCCTGCTGATGCTGCGATTCTTGCGATCGTGGCTCCTGCTCCACCTGGACCTGTACCTGAAGCTGAGACTCCTTTTGCTCCTTCCCCCGTGCGACAATATCGTCTGTCGGCGCCGCTTCTTCGTCGGGGCCGCAAATATCCTCGTTTCGTCGAGGCTCGTCCGAAACGGCCGCGATTAATGCGGCCGTGGCCAGAGGTTAGTTGCTACCAGAGTGCTGTTTCTGATCCGATCCGGCGTCGGAGCCGCTCGAGCTCAAGGTCGTGTTGCTGCCGTACGGATCCAGCGACGACTGGACCGACATACTGCGACCCTGCCTTCTCACTCTGTGGGGGGAGAGTTTCCTGGGGTCGACACTGGTTGGGTCTGCCTGCAACAAATTCCCTCATAGAGCAACTGATCGCAACTGATGCACCATGAGAGTTCTTATAATGTGAGTTAATTGCGTCAAAAATTGTTTTTTTTTTTTTTTTTTTAATTTAAAACAGAGTATATGGAAAAGCAACGCGCACCTGATAGGCCAGTGCGTTCATGATGATTTCCGGTGGAACCAATCCCAACGGGTTCACCTCTTGCATCAGTACAGTTGCTGGGATCTTGTGAAACTGGATGTACTCGATAAAGTTGCCTATCACGTCTTTCAACGGTGTATTTTGATTGTTGTCGCAATATTTTTTACTCCACATTAGCGCCGCCTAAAAGTAAAGTTATAATTAGTTTTGACGAAAATGTTCTGTGCAAGAAGATTAGAGTAAATGTCATTAATTCGTTACTTACTTGAAATTTCGTAAATTCATCTGCACGTAGTTCTTCTCTGGCAAGTATTAATCGGACAACGTGTTGCGGCAGTAATGTGAAGGACCCCAGATTCAATACTTCGTTGCCGTGTTCGTCGACAAATTCCAATACCTTGAGTTTAACAACAGTACTCAATAATAATAAACACAATAAAAATGTAATGCAATATATTACATATGCAATATAATAATTTATGTATACCTATGTATTATTATATAGATGTGTGTATATTTTTTTATTTTTATATCAAAATTTAATTTGTAACTTAAACTGCATTTTGCATAATACCGGCATTATTGCGTTTACCTATGTTAATTTGCACATTTAATTCAGAAATCCAAATTTTATTCTTTATATTTAATGTGTTAAATCACAAAGATATTTTTTACAAAGTAGGTACACTCTAAAAAACGGAATTAATAATAATGAAAAATAATAATTGAAACTAGAATGATTTCTCAGCTTTTACGAAATTTTAATTTCTCTATATGTATAGGATTCTGATTCCGTAATAAATATGTTACTGTATTAATGTCGCATATTTATCTCAAAAGATACTTAAATTAATTAAAATTTACAATATATTAATAACTGTGCAATTGCATGCGAGTTTACCTTTTGTACCAAAGATTTCGTGCATTTATACTGAATATAACGCTCTGCTGATGCTAACAAAGCGCAGACCGTATCGACGGTTATACAGCATTGAACGAAACCAGCGCAGGCTCGTCTAAGCTCGTCCAATCCGTAATAATCGGCGGCATTCATAACACCTGCGGACATAAATTATTATCAGGCGTTTATAAATCACCAATTAATTTCGAAGATAAAATATATACTCGATCTTTTTTTTTCGGTATACAAAATTATCTTTATAAATTTCCACTTTCTACATATTTAGATCCAAAATATCCGATAAGATAGAATAATAGAAAATAGTAATGATTAATCTCTCTCTCTACGCGGCAAATAATAGACATTCTAATTGGCTTGTTAGGGTTACTATATAATGAATTGATTACCAAGCAAAGTCCTAGGCTGTAATGTCACACATCCCGTGTGAATGTATTCGATCAGCTGCCGGAAGACATCGGGCTCGAATTCCTCGATAATCAGCGTGTGATGCTGATTTGATTGCGGCTACGATACAAAAGTAAAAAATGCAAATATCTAAATGAAGAAATAAGAAAGATTGAGAAGCTTAAATCCCGTGCTAAGCAACTTGCATGGAATTTCGTAAGGATTGCCGTAAATCAAATTTACTATATATATATATATATATATATATATATATATATATATATATATAAATCGAAAGTGAGATATTAGTGTGGAGACATTATAATATTTTCAGAAAATTACTTTTTAGTGCCACAAACTACTGTGCATTTAACAGTAATAAGTAAAAGAGTATATATCGTCTAACTAACAATAAGAAAACTGATCGAACCAGCGAACAGGTGTGTACTATTTGTCAATACTTTTTAAATAAATTTATATTTTCGATGTATCTTTTCACTCATAGCAGAAAATTATACATAATGTCAATAATAATTATAATTCGTTCGCTTGGTTGATTTATAAAAATGAGTTATCGTTTATATATGATTAAACAATGTGAATAATCGTGCCAATCTACAACTACAGTGGATTTGGTGATTACAATAATATAATTCAATAATTTCATGCAAAAGTTCAAAATACGGAATTAATCGTATGAATTTTGTTAGATATTCAAGCACTTTTGATGATTGTTTCTCTTTGACGCATAAAAGAACAATTAAACTGAGAGTGTTCGATTAAATAGAAAGTCAAGCTGGCAAACATTGACTTGTCAACATAAAAATCTTAAATAGTCTCCTCTAGTAATTCCTAAATCAGCAAATATAAAATTACGGAGCTCATAAAGATAGAATAGTGATCAAAATGCAATAAACAGATAATTGCAGTGGAGAAAAAAGGGGATGAAAGATAGACAGACATCGATATATGGATCATAAAAGTGAGATGGGAAATGACATAGGAAAGTGGAATAGGATTTCGATCTGTGTATAATAAAATTATACGTAAAAGTGACGTTCAAAGTACCTCTTGGATGGGGGCCAGTTGCTGCGTGAACCCTGACCGCTACACGACATATACAAATGCACGCTTACTATTTCTATCCTGATAATAGTCATTTCGGATTGATTGGCCACGATAAATATGCAAGTGTCCCCCAAAAAAAGAAGCGAAAAAATTGTCGCTTCATCAAAAAATACATTGAAATTTTGTAAGTGAGAGAGACGTAGACAATAATAATATATTAATTAATAAATTAATAGATTAATAAAATTTAAAATAATAAATTTCCTTTTAAATTAAATTATAATTTATATAATTTAAATTAAAATTGTTCAAAATAAATTCATTAATATGTAATAATTATTGAGGTGCCTTGTATATTACACGTATTCGCCTGTCATATCTGAGAAGTTATCCATGTGTTATTTACAAAACGATTATCGTCTTTTGAATTTTGCAGTTAATATATACACGCATATTGATTTTAAGGAGAAAATAAAAACTATTCAATAAATAAATATATACATACATATATGTATATAGAAAATATTCAAAAAGATTTAAATACAATTTAAAAGAAGACCTATTTTTTCTTTATAAATATTGTGAAATATGATATATTTACGTTGCTAGAACGCAATCAGATAATTAATGAAAAAATTGTGTATTATCTTTTGTGTTAAATACCTGTTGTGCTGCGTTCTGCAAATTCAACAACGGCTCGGAGCTACGCTTGAGGAAAAGTCGAATCTTGTTCTCTCGCGCCGGCGGTTCTTTTTTGCGTTGCGGACTCGGAGTTTGATATAACATTTTATGAAAGACTCTGTAGAAATAGAAAGAAATCGTCATCACTCGCTGATACGTTATCGTATTCCGTAGTTCAAGACTATTTCTTACAAACCTGCTCCTGGCCGCAAGCACAGCCTTCACAGCGCAAACGGGCTCTCTGGTATCACCGACGAGGAATGTCACGTCGCAGAGTTCCGGCATACTCGCCAAGAACTTCATGTCTTCGGCCAGGCCGGTTTTATTCTCGAAAGTCGAGTAATCCGACTCGTCGGCTACTCCTGATCCTGAAGCCTCCGGCATCGGGCCCATATCTTCTTCCTATTTTTTGCAGAAAGAAAATAAATAATATAAAAATTATTTGTAATTAAAATTTATATATATATACATATATATATATATATATTCTTGTCAATTATTTTTAACTCTAATTATTTTTAAGTCCATAATTATATATTTATATAAAAATTATTTTTACCATGATAATTATTAACATTTACATTTATTTATCCATGATATAAAATAAATAACAATGTTTAAAAGTGAAAAATTTATTCAATAATTATTACGTACACAAGCAGTGCGCAGGCTTCGATAAAAATATCATGGTCTTTTAATACATTACATATGAGGGGAATGCATAAAAAATGACGCTTTCATCCGTAAACTATTATTCAAAACAGCAATCTCTTTATTGCTTTATTTACTTTACACCTTTATGAAATGATCTGTATAATTAAACATATTATTTCCAGGACATTTAATGAACTGTTATGAATTCGGTTTATATTTTCCATACGTCATTAGCATATTGCTCGAGAAATCTTCATATTAAAAATTTTATTAAATTTGCAAAGCATTTTTTTATCAAGGAGAAAAATCTGCAAACTTGTCGATAAAGTCTTTCTTCTTGAGAGAGTATATTATGCCTTATATAACGCGATTATTATTTGCGACGTAGTTAGTATAGGTAAAAGAAAAGTTTATAATCAGGTTTACAAAAATAACGCGCATATGCTTTGATCTAATTTATTAATTCTGTCAATAATATCTTCCCTACCTAATTACATTATCTATTGCTGTCACTTTTCAAACAATTGAAACAAATAATGAATGTCTGCAAGAAACATATCGAGGAAACTCATTAAGTATATACTTATATAACATGGTACTCTTTTTCAATTTTATTTTTAGTATTGTTCAATATCACTTGTGTTACATTAAATCTATTTCAGAAAATTAACGTCAGTTGTACGTTTAAGAAAACATGGATATAAATATTTTATTATCATTATTTAAAAATCTCAGATTTAATTCCTTTTATATTGAGAAAGATGATTCGACATTTTATATAAATTAAACTTACCTGAATAATTGTCAAAATTACAATTAGGAAAGACTAAAATATTTCAGTAATTTTGTTATTACCTACAATTATGAAATTATTTTGCTTAATAACAATTAAATGTTTGAAGTAATTATATACAACTATAAATAATATAGAATGATGAGAAGAGAACAGCGACGAATATATTCAAGAATAAAATAAATAAAAGAAAAGTGCTCCGATATGAAGCAAAGTGTGCGTTACCTGTTGCTTTGGTCCCGGAGCTTCTTCGCTTGCCGGGCTGCTTTTGCCCCGAAAAAACACTTTTAACTCACTTCTCGAATATTGTTGATGAAATCGGTCGGTCGTTAGCTAAATCGAACACGCAAGGGAAGAAAATGAGAAATTAATCACTAATGCAAAAGTTATAAAAACTCGCAGGAAAAATAAATGCGTTTAATATCAAATCATTACAGGGATGAAACATATTTTCTCTCTGGTTAATGTTACATAAATTATATATTACATTTTAATTGAGCACATAACAATATAGTTTTGCAAACTGGGAAGCACAATTGTAATTATTATGTTTTGAAAAATTAAAACGTAAAACGTACAGACACTCAAATAACGATTTACTTAACAATATCAAAGTAATACGAGATAGAAATAAATGCAAATTACACCGGAATTTATCAAGATATTTCGAGATGGTGATGCAAATACCTAGAGATCTGCTGTATCGAGCTTGGGATGCAATTGACGTGGTGGGATTGATCGCGGAGCTTCCCAGCGAGCGGAATAAAGCTCTTTGGGACGAACGCTATCACTCTGTCGTGGTAGAAAAACGATTTGGATCGTAGAAGAGGATGTACGCGAACGTCAGTTCCGGCCGTCGTCTTCGTGCTCGATTCGAGAAGGTCTGGACATGTCGGAGGTTGGATTCGTGAATGGGTATATGATCAGAAAGAGAGAGAGCACAGGGCGAAGTCTCCGGACGAGCAAAGAATCGGACAGATGCAGAACTTCCTGTCGACGAGAGCATCGGGGTGGCTTGCGGCGCCTGCGTCAAGTTAGGGTGCCGACGACGCCCGCTTCTACGCCGACTCGACCCGGAGAAGCTTCCCTCAGCCAAACAGGAAGGTTTCAAGTGAGATGGATATCCTTGGGCCGAGTGATTGATTAGATATCGCTTTTAGCACGACACGAATTGCTAGATTTTCATTTTTATATTTATATCATTTTTTTCGATTTTTTTCATAGTAATTTATTTAAAATTTATATTTAAATCTGTATAATAAATTTTAAACATTTTATATTAATTATATTGAAATTTTTCTTTTAATGAAATCAAATACGTGTCTTGTATAACATGTCGTACAATTATGATTTTATATATTTATATCATTTATATAAATAGATTTTTAATAAGGCACACAGAATCTAATGGCTTTATTGTTTTTAAAGAATTTTTCTGTGAAGATTAAAGTTTAAGAATAAATATATAATATTGGACATATAAAAATCCTAAAATCCCAAAAATGAATATTATTCTATTATTCGAAGAATTTTCCAACCATCTGTTTTTCAGATATTAATATTTCAAATATCATAAATATGCATCTTGATTATTTTTGGTAATTATAACCGAGCAAAATGAAAGCGAAGGTAATATAAACTTTACTGATAAATCCGGGTCAAGCTCAAAACTCTGGCACTATAGAATCATTCAGATCGTTGAAAAATCTTCTCTCTCTTCAAGGAACTACGCTATCTTTTTCTTTAAATCAATATATGACTCGGCATCGCAACAAGTTGCAATACCATTTAAAAATGCGAATAAATTATTCGTCTGTAATATTTTTAATTACACATAACTGTATTTATAAATATTTTTAAGTATTTTTAGAAATATTGCAGTACACGAAATTAAATATGTAAATGAATTGATTAGATCTTGACATTTGTGACGATATTGTTCCTAATTTAAACAACAATATATCAACAATTAAAACTGGTAATTATCAATGTATGCATTAAGTAATAATTTATCATTTATATTATATCAATTTTAATGACTTAATTGTTATAGATTTGACACAATTATTGTAAATCCTAGATGTTAAATTAAGAGTTCACTATTTCTTTTCGCTCAAATTTTACTTGAAAATACTTGAATTTACATATAATTTTTTATGTTTTCCGTTCATAAAAAATAAAAATATTCCAGGATTTTTTTTTTTCTAAAAATCTATGAATCGTTACGAATATTTTTCTCACACAAATGCATGCAAATTAAAATATACGAACAGAAATGAAACGACTTTTCAGCGTAGTTCAAACCACATTCAAGCTTCGAATTGCGCCGAAGCGACCCTCGCAGGACTTTTCATCCCCTTTTACGGGAGTGGAGTCTCTTGGACAGCGAGATGCGGCTACGAGGACGCCTGCGCGAGAATAACGAGCGATTTCATTCTCGTTTACGTAGCAACCCCCTCGATAATTGGTAAACGGTTCGATAGATAGGAGCGGTTGGTCGTAATAATCAAAAGCATCATTAAGACAGAAAGTCTTCCCGTGTCGAACACGTGAAACCCATGACTATAATTCACAATGCCGCTCCCACTTTCAAGCCAATCGCGAATCGTCGTCAGGACGACAGATCCCTGTCCCGCGATTCCGTCATGAGATTTTTCCGGCATCATTATTGATCCTCGACGAGACCACCGTTTACCTTGCTCCTCGAAACAGCGGAACTTGTGGGTGGCAAGAATTGGGTCAGGGCTAACTGAAAGTATGCCACGTTCCATTTTCCAGTCTCCCCGGGGCTGCTTCTTCATGGAAAGTCCCGTATTTCTTCCGAAAATACATCGCTTTACATGTTTGCGGCCGAAAGTATAGAAACTTCTCATCGTACGGATAGTAAATTTTCATTCACGATATGTTAAAGATCAGAGTGAAATAAGATAAGGGATTAGAAGGGAGCTATTTGAAAACTATTAGTAACATAAAACAACATCGATTTATTCAACACAAATACTTGCACGTTATGATAGAGGTTCGTAGTAATGTATATATATAATGATATAGTAATATTTATATATACACGAAATAAGGCACGTTCGATATTACATTAATTAAACGCGCGCCGTGCGCAGGAAACGTTGTTCCGGCGGTGATTCACGTTTTTTTTATTACTATCAATCTCATCTCCCATTCCTTTACGATATGCAACGTCCTTACCAAACGTAGAAAATGTCATATATTATATATATATATATATATATATTCTGTATAAATTTCGTCGACATGCACTCGCGAGTAATCTGCTCTCGTTTCGGTCATCAACATCGGACAATCGTGAAGCGATTTCCCTCGCCTGAGATTATTCGCGACATACAATCACACTTCCTAAGCTATTCAACGTGTCTTGTGTCTCGCATTGGCAAAACTTGCGGTTTCGAGAAACTTGATTAGTTCTAAGATGAAAACCGCTAGTTAGTCGTATCTAATTAAGCGCACATTCATACACGGGTTAACGCTAACTCGCTGCTTCTCTCTTTCTCTCTCTTTCTTTCTTTTAGAGTCTTTTACACAATTAACCATATATTAACGCATTCGTACATTCACGACTAATTACACGCGAAATCGCAAACCTGAAACGCGACGCGATTTATTCCGTCCACGAAAAGTGTGAACAGTAGCTACTCATTTTTCGTTACGATTTCTGAACATCTCATTCGACTGATTTTAACAGAATATATACGTACATGTTTTATAAATAACCTATCACGTTATTTTTTTATAAATAATTTCCTCTTTAGAAAAAAAAGATGCATACATAATATTGAAATTTCGATCGCTACATATTTTTAGCTTTTTTTTAAAGAAGTATTAAATAAATTTTTTATACAATTTAACGAAAAAGAAATAGATATGTATAAAATTGCATCCCATGATGAAAACTCGTACAAAATTTACAAATAACACACTCTTTCAAAATAACAAAAACGTCGACGATGTCATAAGTGTTTCCGCATATCTGTAGCGATATCTACGATTTTGTTGGCACGCAAAAATCATTTTTGTTGCGTCTTAAACTAGAATGCCTGAAGAATTGCACAAAAGTTGTCAGATTACGCCGTAATTATATACTAGACATTTTTCTAGAAAAACATCTTATAAATTTATAATTATAACTAACAAGTAAAAAGTCTTGTTAATAATCATAATCTCATTTTTTCAAAATATGTATTATTTTTTTACGACAACTCTCGCTTGTATCGTGATATGTAGTTAAAATTATAACAAAAAACTCATGATTCTCTATAAAAGTATACTCTTTTTGTGAAGTATTCATTAGCAGATTTATACATCCAACTCTAATCGCTGATTCACAATCACGAGTCATTCGCGTTCGCGACTGTCGAAAGCGAAGATAAGAGAAGTCCACGGATTAATAGCTCATATGCATGTTCACACATTTAGAACACTCCCTTAGACTTACTTAGGCGGTACTTATATCCTGAACTGGCATCAAGACATCGTATCTTACACGAATGTACAAACAGGATGAAACAATTCGCCTGTGTCTTCGGAATGTTTCGTCGCTCTCTTTTTCCTCTAAGCTTCCCTTAAAATTGCCTACAAATATCTAAATAAAAAACTAAAAAAAAAAAAAATTATTTTTGTTACGCCAAACGTCGCCGTCTTCGATTTATCGTTTCGGCGGTTCTGGAATGCAAACTTTATCCCCGAAAAGATTGTAAGAAAGATTAACGTTGGGCGATCAACGAATGTCATCGCGGATCGTCGAATCGTCGACTGATGCAATATGACGCTCATCTCTAAAAACTATTTTTTAACATGCGAAATAATGGTAATGATCGATCAAAATTATCATGCATACGTCTTTGTAATGAATAGTAAAGATCTGTCGTTTTTGTCTGCATTGACAATAGATACAAACAGTTATCGTCTTAAAAATTCCCCGAGTATCAATAAATCATCAAAGATAACTCGTGAAAATTGAGAATAAACCATCTTCAAATGCATGTTATTTTGTAAGCTGTTGCATGATAGAACAAATTCAGTTTTTCTAACGCAACTTGCGTTAAGAGAGTTATAATTTCTGTCGCGTTTCTTTCGAACTCGCACATGGCACTCTGAGTTAATAAAAGAGTATGACTGCGCAAATATCGTCTAATACGATCTCCTTAAATCATTCGGTGCACGCGATTACAGGTTTTCTTTAACGGCGATACGTGCTCGTTATTTTAATTGCACCGGAGAGTTTGCCACTAAAATTAGAACGAGTCTCTCTTACGACGAGAATATTTTAAATTTGGCACTTGACGCTTTCTAAAAAATAACCATTGCATTTGTTCAGACTTATCGAAGACATTTTGGAGACAGTTTGTTCTTGGAAATTGTGTCGAGGCGCGATATGTAAGAAAAATTATTCACTACAATCTACTCATTTTGTCATCTCTACAATCGACGATTCGCTCGCAAAAAATCGATACGTTCCTGCGATGGCACCGAGTATCCCGCTTCCTTGATCCTCGTGGAAGCGCGAACGATCAGCGAACGAAAGTGACGATCGAGAGCCTATTCGAAGGTCGATACGATCACGTTCGTTCATGATCCTATCCGGGCCAATCTTTCGCAATACTATGAAATACTTAACAACTACAACTCAAAAATCAACATACCACGTGGCGCTCAAAAGTTATTCTAATTAAATGCAATTTCTTGAGTAAAAAAATTCTTTTCTAAGTATATTGTCCTCGCGAATGTTTCGTTGCATCGCGATCTTCCGCTTCGTTCATCGTCCTCGTCGATGAAATGGTGGATGAACTTTTTTGTTTCGTCTCCAATTGTTCCTCGACGAAAATATCTTAGGAATTGCGTGGAGTTTGTCCCGATCGTTCAAGCAATCTGGAATGGTTTCGGGAGAGATTTCTCCTCGATATATTTTGGAATATTGCGAGATATTTATCTGCCGAAGCGAGTCTTGGCGATTGAGTATCGTTTCCCTGGCAGCCAAGATGGTCCGCCGACCTGACCAACATTGTTGTGCGAATGACGACGTGAGAAGGCGCGGTATCACAGCTTCGACGGGTCGTAATTCTCGAAGGACCATCTCTGTCTCGGCGCGCTGGCTGAGCATTCTTCCATCACCAGTTGCTGCTTGCTTTCTGTGATCGCCAGACACTTGTCGCTACTGCCGTGCCTGATGTGATTAGTCTGGAAAAAGAAGAAAGTCGTGAGAATTGTTTCTCTTTCACGAAGAGAAGTTTATCAATAGAGGATCTACTCGAGAATTAATTTTTTTACAAAAGTATCGAAGACAAGCCAATACCTGAGGACTATAAATCCATTGTTGATTCCCTTTACTACCGTGGCAAGGATAGAGAATTACGTCGCTGCCGCTGTAGTCCAGGCACGATTCGTCCCGACGTATTTCACCCGTTTTACTGAGCATCCAGTACTGCAACGAACAGTCTCTATTATTGTCTCTAGAATTTTGACATTACAGGCCTACCTATACGATCGCTGATTCTGACAGATGTCACGACGCGGAAAAAAATTGCATAAAAAAAGGGAAGAGTGCCTTTAATCAAATTGATATATATACAAAAACATTTGATTATTATACGCGTGAAAGGATTTGAACAAAATACGAGTTGCTTTTTAATAAATTTCTCTCGATAATATATTTTTCACAAAGCGCGTCCGCGCCCGCATTATTGCAAATCTACCCTCGAAACAAGGATATTTACAATCGCGACAATATCCGCATAAACCGAGAATGCAAATCTGTAAAATCACCGGGATCTGCGTTTATGATCTCGTTGTATTGCGCATTTGCGGCGCGTGAAAATAAGCGTCATGTCATCACGCGCGCGCGAGAGAGAAGAGAGAGAGAGAGAGAGAGAGAGATTATCGTGCGGAGTAACTGCGGATAGACGCGGATTTTCGCGGTGTTACACAGGACAAGCGGGGATCGATTTACACGCGTAGCTCGTAAAATAACGTGTCGGGTGGGTGTGAGCGAGAAATGTGCGGCTAACAGTTATTCACCGCGGGCGATGCGCGACGCCGATTTAGATTCGCGCGAAGTCGGGAAACGCGTCAAAGCGAAAGCCGCCACGTTCATAATGACCACCGATAATCGAGTCCAGTGGTCCTCGAAATTACACTCATCTGACCGCTCGCGCCGGTCGCTGTTTGTGCAATTTCAGCCGCCTGGAATTGACAGCGAACGCCGATGAGCCGCGGCCCGATGTCGCCCAACTCCATACATAAAGGGCGACTGACCCTTGGAATTTATGCGCGAAAGCGGATAATCCAATAGAAAGTGCGAATTTGTACAGGTCAAAGCAAGACGAGTTTTTATTCGAAAGAAAATTTAGGAAAGAAAAAAATAGAGATTTTATATATGATATATATGGATTAACGGAGCGAGAGAGAGCTCGTTACGAATGTGGACATATAATATATATTCGCGGTCGTAATTATCACTAATTTAATAACGGCAAGCGGGCGCAGACTATGAATTGGGACCACCGCTGTCAGAACCATCGAGTCGACAATATATAATTGTTTTGAAGTGCTTTACAAGTATAATTAGGGATAGTGGACACGGGATAACGAGAAGCAAGCATTCACTGCACACATGCATCATCAAGCATCGTTAGCCATGCACGACCCGCGTTCCATTCTGCCTGAAATTCTCAAATCAGAGCATGTTATATTGCGCCGTCTGGAGAATAATACACATATGTTACACATGTTATACACACATACATTTATCTCATTATTTATCACATGCTCACCATCTACAATAAATTGCATTGTATTTTTACGATAAAAAAAAAGAAGGGGAAAAAATACAAGTATAGTGGAAGAAATGAACGATAAAATAGTCATCAGCGTTTAATTGGAATTTTCATGAAAAATGCATGCATCAGTTTGTATATCGAACGATCGCGAGAGCTTCGTATAATTACAGTGTGACGCGATCATGTTTATATCACGATCCCCGAGTACACATAATGCCGATGATAATTCTGTACGTATACACACGCGCGTATGCAGTCCAGATATTACGCATTGTAGCCGGCATAAACCGACCAGCAACTACGACTGCAACCCCGGGCTCTATCTCGCGCGACGCACTCACCTTCTATCCGATGATACGATTATTCATCTTCCATCATCCGCGATCGCAGACTGATCCCGGATCACCGATGCGCAATCCCGTTTCGATGCCGGCCCTAACGTGATGCACACCAGGTCGAGGGTTGCGACTTTATCAGCGGACGACGACCGAAAGCGTAATTGCCGTGAAACCGCGGCTTAATTGCGAGGGCCAACAGCTAAATTAAAGCAGCGCTTTACCAGGCTAAGCAAGCTCCGACCGATTGTGTTTTTGGTTGCAACCGGTTGCCACACTTGTTAAACGCCTGGCGTTTCTGTGCGTACACGTGTGTGTACTTGTGTATGTGTACGTACGTACGTATGCATGTATGGCGAGTAAATCACGGAAACCATCCACGCACGTGTGTACGTTCTATTTCGTCCGGGTTTTAATAATAGACCGCGCACCGACGAATGCCAGGAATAAGATAAAACGCGAATTTACGAGGCAATTCGAGTCGAGTGTAAGCTAATGAAATTGTTGCTAATTTTTATGTATGTATATACCGCTGATGCGATGAAAAGAAATGCAAAAATGACCAGACCATTATATCCTCTTTGCATATGTTACGCGTGACATATTTATCTTCTGAATCATTCTTCGTCTCGAGATAAAATTATATGAGAAAGTATAAAGAAGGAAGCGTTTGAAATATTTATCAGCTCATTCTTCCTGCTTGACGAGTTCATAGATGAAAAGCAAGAAAAAATAGAGGATTTTAAATCTTATACCACGGTCTGGTATAGTACACAGGTCAGGACACTCATTAAAATAAAGTGTATAAAAAATGTAACCAATATAGCGGCCAACTTAGGCTTGTCATATAATAATATATTTATTATAATATATTTCACTGTTTTAAGAGTAATTTAATAAAAACTATTCTTAATATTTAATATTTATTCCGACGGTTTTTAACCGTGTTTATTTTTAACAGTTTTTCAATTGTGCACAAGATCTAACACAAAACTGTCAAAAACCTGTCAAAATAAAAAAAAATGTGCTCTGGCGCACATTAAATAAATCGGCCTGAGTTGGCAACCGTATTAGTTACATTTTGTTACGCTTGACAGCATGTAGTCGATATAAAATTGTCCTGACCTGTATATAAGACCGTGTCTTATACTATTATACATATATCAACGTAAGATATCACGATAATCCGTGGAGTAGTGCTGTAGCCAAAAGGCAGCGATTGGGATCATTGAACCGAGGAAGTAAGTAGGGGCATGGATTGATGGGCACCTGCACCAGATTAGTGACGTTACTAATCGCGTCGAGACGATTAGTGGCGAGTTAGCGTGCACGCGAGCACACAGGTGTTCAAGTGAGATTCAATCTTTATATACAAGTCGTGTTGTATCTCTCGACTCCAAAGCCAGAACATTAGACCAGCTGCATCTGTCACCCATCCGTCAGCCGGAGTTAGAGAAAGAGAGAAAGAGAAGAAGACCTTATACTCGAATTTCTATCGGTTTCTTTTATTTAACCATGGAGATTATATCGTCGCGACGATATTCGTGTACCTGATTGCCGCCTTGACGGTGACAGGGATACAAGCCCACCGGTTGATGCAGGTCTTCCGATTTTCCAGGTGAATCAACGCATATTCCGCTAGCGATCTGCCTAATCTGCGTTGGAGAATTCAACAGAGGTTTCACACAATTACTGGCAGGTAAAAGACTCACTATTACTCACTCTATCTATGTTTCGTGCGGGCGCACGATTTTACCTATTCGCCGCTTATTCGAGAATCCAAGCAGCTGGAAGCGCGAGCAAACACACATACACGCATGCAAATGCACACACTCGTACAGAAACATCGGACGAAACACGCGTGCGATTAGGTACTCGTCATTGGAGGAATGATAGCAGATCGATATCACCAATGAGACGGAAACTCGATTTTCTAGTAATTTGGTATGTAGCTTCGATCAGAGCTCCGCGGTGGAATTATGGGACCCACATTTCGAAACGAGCGATCCATGTGCGTTGTTTACTCACGCAGGATTATACGATAATAATTAGGCTAAATATCAGTCCACGACTACTAACAAGCATCGTTGTTCGATGGTTGAAAGCTATACATAACTACCGGTCTCATATATCAAGCAATATGAGATATATCGGCGGCTGTTATTATCATTGTACAGTTCATTAAATTCTTATACAAGACTGTTCACTGACGTGTCCTTTAATAAATTAAAATGTATTATCTAATTTTTTTAAATTTTCTACTTTTACCACTGTACTGTTTTAATAACTGCCGTGCAATAACATCCGCGGATATCTCGAAACTCCGTGGAAGCACCACTATAGTGATAGCGGATGAAAAACTTTTGAGATCAAACAAAAATTGAACAAAAAAAAATCGTGTTTCCGTTTCAAACTTTATATGCATACACACATTTTTACACATCAAGCGCGGACAGGCATTTCGCGGGACAGTGTGCCTTGCGATGAAGGAATTTCTTCGCACATCTGACCGTCGTGTCTATTGTACCTGATTTCCACCCTGTCGATGGCAGGGATAGAGTCCGCACGGCTTGTGCAAGTCGGCCTTGCGAGCAGGCGAATCCAGACAGGTGTTTCCGCCCTCGCCGAGGTTCCGGACCTGTTTGTTATTAGTCATTTTTTCGGACATTAGTTTGTGTACCCGCACCGTTAGTAAGACCCAAGGTATATATATATATATATATATATATATATGTAAAAAAAAAAAGAAAAGCATCGTCAATGATATTGGATTTACAAAGGTATTTTTGATATCGCGAGATATTTACTTGACCGATAATAAAATCATCATAAAACTTTTGATTTAAAATAGAATATTATTCTCTCTCGATCGAATTAATAAAATACGATGAATATGTTATTTAATTTAAAACGTCGATAAAGACTGTGACGCCGCTTTACTTTAATAAAAATATATAAATACACTCTCGACGTTATAGATCTCTTACTCTATATACCTGAAAGATAATTTGATCAAGACAATTATGGATTATGTGCACATTTTGGGAACAAGATTCGTTATTTCACGTATATTTTATATCTCTTTCGCAATAGAATATGGAAAGGGCACAAAGCCAGAGCTCGGCCGTCGCGGGATTCTATAATATTTTTTTTTTCTTCCCTTAACACAGATTTGCTGCATGCCTGGAAAAGCAGGACCGCACAGACCGCATGAAACTGCGTTCTCCAAATAGACGTTTTTTTCAAATAGACGGAAACAAATCGAAAATGAGGGATACTCGTATTTTGTTCGGTTCGACGCATGTGTGTTCGCAACCGAACTTTCGTGTAAAAACACATTCCGCGCATATATATATATATACACACACAAGTGTACGTATGACCGCGTATAACAGCAGGTGCATTCGGTTACGAAGCTCGGTCAGCAGTCCTGATTTCGCTGCATGCAAGAATTCTGTGGTCGTTGCAGTTTCAACGTGAACATCTTTATCCCCTTCCCCTTCCCCTTCCCCCTGCCCTAGAAATCGTTGTCCTCGTTGTCGGCGTTCTCTCGTCGGCTGACTGGAATAAAAACTCGTGATTTATAGCCAGGTATCCTGTGGAGGTCGATAAAATTTCAAAAGCTCCCGACATTATTAAAAGGGGATTCGAAGGCTCTTAGTGAACTCGGAAAAATATGCGTGATATAGTATTTAGACAAGTTTATAGTCTCGAGAAAAAGGGGAGTTGGAGGAATAATATATAAATGCCACGGCAAGTCACGTATTTCGGACATTTTCTGAATTTCATACCTCGTTACTTTATAATCCGATGAGAGATACGTCTGTCTCTCCTTCGTTCTCTTCCGGCAAATCCCGTTTTCATCCATATACGCGGGTGAAAAAAGAAGTAAATAGTAAATCTCGATGATATTAACACACATAGAGTGGTTGCTGAGAATATTCCGAAATATTGAAGAACACCGTCGAAATATACGCGTTCGACGCGAGATCGGGCGATGGTCGGATAAAACTCCGCCGTGTCGCGTTTTTATGCATCCTACACGATTTTGCATAGGAAATCCATGCAGTTCGCGTAGAACGACTCAAAAATCGCATATACCCCCCGGAGAAATATGCGCCCACCCCGTGCACGTACGTAGAAACACGTGCAACCGAAATTATTCACGTCGTGTACGATTTTCTGGACGGTCGTAGAGCCGTGTGAACTATAAATCCAGTCATCCCTCTCTTTCCTACGATAGGGAGAGGCCGAGCGGTGATTTAGCCGGTTTTCCAGAAGCAAATAAAGAGGAAAAAGAAGAGAGAAAAAGGCAGGGAAAATGAGAAATTCGGACAGAGGAGGACACTAAGGACATAAGTTTCGTCGGGCGAAATTGTTACTTCACGGCGCGAAATGAATTTACGAAATCCTTGTTCACACAAATTTTGTTATTACGAAATTGCCGACTAGTTGATAGTATTAGTGAAACGTGGCCGGAATTTTGATTTCGTTAATAAATCCCGAAATTTCGAATAAGTCGAATCATTATCTATTTCGAGAATGTGCTCTCGCATCAGAAATAGTGTAATATATATATATATATATATATAAGAGAATATTGATTATTTGACATGGATAATTTTCGCATACTTTATATATGTATGTATATTAAAAATTCCATAAATTATTGAAAATTATAAAATTTAAGAATTTATATTAAAAGTAAAAAAGAATAGTAACCGGACTAAAATTATATATGAATTAAGTGATTTTGGAACCTCTTCAAATTTACTACAAATAAAAAACTGAGTCGAGATTCGCGAAAAACGAGGCGTATAAAAATTGACATCCCTTTCCTACTTTCCTATAACGCGTGCAAATTTTTTCGGCGCAGCAACAGAGAAGAGAGAGAGAATGGTCGCGTGTGAATAATCTAGAATCGGCAAGAACATCAGTTCACGTCGGGCAACTTAAGCGGCGAAATGGTTATTTTCGTGACGCGAATAGCATTCCGAAGTGCGCGCAAATGCTTCTTCGCGAAAATGTGCGCGCCCATCCTTTATATATTCCTCTTTTTTTCCATCGCATTTTTTTCGCGGTGCTTTCTTTCCCTATTTCGCCCACTCGTGGATACCAATGTCAGTATGCTTGGACAGAAGAAGAAGTAGGGAGGGATGGGAAAAGAGAAAGAGAGAGAGGAAAAAAGGAATAATACGGGAGCAAAACGCATTCCTTGCCCCATCCTGGCGAAAACGTGAGTGGATCGCAACAAACGACAAGGCGAGAGGGTGAGACGAGGGTATAAAAAGAGGTGGAAAGGCTCTGGTCGATATCCCGAACTATTCCGGATTCCGTTGCTTTTTATTATCATGTTCGATCGGAATATTGCCTTCGCACGGTGGAACGCCTGTGCATACCGTGCGTCATGTCGACAGCGGCGTGAAATTGTGATTCGCGAGAACCGTGGTACACCCCATGACCAGCGGTTTTTGTCTCGCGCGAATAACGCGACAGAGTGCCGCAATTTGCGAGGCGCGTAATTTGCCACGCGTGAGCATTTGTTTCAACATCGTTCTATCTCCGTCGGCAAACATATCGCGAGCAAAATAGGGCGCGAGATGGAAAAAGATCTGTCATTGTTCTAATTTTCTTTTTAACAATACGCATCGAAGGCTCGCGCGGATTGAAAATTTACGCGAAGGGAGAGAAAAATAAGTCGTTACCTCGATGCATATATTTTCATCCTAAAGATATCGAATGTGCTATTACAAAAATATATCAAAAGTTTTATATCGAAGCGCATCCCATTTTTGTAGACATAATGGAAAAATAATGAAAGCTAAATAGGCATTAGTTCAAAATCTTCTTTCATCAACGAAATATGTTCAACCGCGTACCACCAAGACCAATATATGTGTAATATATTCTTGGATAAATTCTCTTTTAAAAAAGATTAAAAATTTTTTTTTTACGCGAAATATGTGCAAATATTTATTTATCTTTCGAATCATGATTATCAATAGAACGATCGTTCTGTAAATCGCGCGCTGTCCTATAAGTCCTTGCCAGATCTGACAGAGGGTACGGATGATATGTCACCGGTATGATCTCCGGAATTATAAAAAGCCCAAATATATCTCCCCGATAACACACGGAGCAACGACGAGTCGCTTGCTCGCTCGCTCGAAACTTACCCCCCAGAATTTCCGGTACAGCGAACTTTAGTACGCCCGGTTATCTTGTACGGCGTGCGCGGAGATAGCGCGAGGACTAAGATGATCCTGATACGAGAAATTCAAGTGAAGTGTGAAGATAACGAGACGGGTCGAGACCGTGCACGGGCGTGAAAAAGAGACGACCGGGGTGAGAAAGTGCGCCCCCTCCGGAAGGGAGACAGAGATAAATGAGAGAGAGAGAGGGACAGAGAGGCACGAAGGCACGAAATATTTGAGTCGCGTGACACTATGACGCGTGTAATGCAAGCCGAGGTTTAAGCTGCTCTGAAGAGCGCTGCCGTTCCTCTATATATACATACATATATATATATATATATATATATATATATTCCCTAGTCCGTATATATATATATATATATATATATATATATATACTATATATATATATATATATATATATATATATATATATATATATATATATATATATATACGGACTGGGGAAAGATAATAGAATGCATTATTCAATAACGTCGTGATTAATTTACGACGTAATCGAATTTCGCATCACGAATGAAACGAGATGTTAAAATAATATAATATTTCGATAACGAGACGAAAAGAGAGGGAGTTAAAGTCAAACAATTAAATTAATGGAACTGAATTTTGTGTGACGTCGCGAATGACTAAGTGCATCACTCGATCATAAATGATATCATCAAGTGTATGTATGTGTGTGTGTGTATATATATATATATATATATATACACAGACGCCCACATACGCACACGAACTGATATTCTCGTTACACATATATATATTTCTGCCGAGTTCCTCCTGAGCGACGTGTCCTACTTACGTGAAGTTTACATTTTGCCGGGAATAAAAAGTCCGGGAGGAAAAAGGCTTTCCGCTACTACAATACAAGTGTTTTACTTTCTTCGCTTTCCGCGGGTTGAACACCGCGTTAAACACGCGGGCGCACCGGACGGTTACCGGGTTAATGCACCGCCGACTTATGATAAAATTAAAGGAACAAAAGGAAATTGGGAGAGGAGGAGAAGGAAGAATGATGGAAGTGTATGAAATATTTCTGTCGCGTGACGTTGCAGTTTTCGTCGTTAATACCCCCGGGCTGCCTACGTACCGTGACTTTGTCACGTGCTACGTGCGAAGAGAGTAACGTGTGTAACGATCCCTCGTGCGGATGGAAAACGCAAGGGTTACCACCACAAACCAGGAAGGCGCGGATTTATTCCCGACGATGTTTGCAATCATTTCGCAATTACGAAACCCCGAGTCACCGGCGGCGACGATGACTAACACATGGCAAAAATAAATTGCGAAATAACTAACAGTCTGCCACACGAATCGCGTATACATTCGTCGAAATGAATTGATTAATAAAACACGTCAACAATATCGGCGACGACGCCGATAAAAGATTGATTAAACGCGGTAACTGAGATTGGAAACAGCCGTGAATAAATCACGCGTCGATAAATGAAACGCGCAATATCGAAGATAAATTTCAATATCTATATGTGCAATACCGGAGACTCCAATTATACGATGCAGGATTTCATCATAGTATTATAAACTCGATCAAACTCTTTAAAGATTCATTCTTTTTCTCGCGTATCTCTCACGAATAGACGTTATCATTTTGCAACCTCCATTTTCTCCGAATGTAACGACGACAATATCGTCATCGACAATCATCCCGCAATTATGGATGCATCGAGACGGAATGTAGCAGAAGCTCGAAGAGGGAGGGACAACACGACGGGAATAAATCTTCCGCGTGATTGATCATCCGCCATGAATCGCCCAAGCCGGGCGATATTAATGCACTATCAGTCGCGACAGGATCGCGCGTGCAGCTTTGACGATTCTGTCGTTCGTCGCCTCTGCGCGATATTTATGCGTTCGTTTTTTCTTTTTTTTTTTTTTATTTTTCGGCAAACGGATCGAAAAGGGAGAGGAAAAAAAACGACGAATTGGCAGACCCCCGCTTGAAATTTTGTCCACGCCAGGATAACCGCGTAGTTTGCTACTCTATATAACGCTCACATTTTTCTTTCTTCTTCATTCATTTCAGTCCTCTCGTTTCTTTTTCCTACGGCACGGCGAATCCCGGAATATGGAGTTCGACAGTCGGGAATGCCGTAAAAATCTGGCGGGGCGTAACGACGTAGTACGAAGAACGATCTGGTCGATTGGTTAATAAAGTTGCGACTAGATATTTTATCTGGTATTCCTACGTTCATTTTTTTTAGAACCATATTCAAGAAGAATTGAGAGATACAATTAATCAAATATGAATTCACGAGAAATATCGACATTCCTCTTCTCGTTGCAAAATTATTTTCGCAAGAATCCGATTTCTCGTTGCTAATAATTCAATTATTTTATTCTCCTTGCAAGATATATATATAATAAAATATTATATATAATTAAAATATAATTGTATATTAAGCTATATAAAAAAAAATGTATAAGAATAACTGATACACCCCAACATGTCTGACTATATCCTGCTTGTTCTACTGAAAAATATGGCCATTCGCTTTCAATTTTTTTTAAATGTAAAAAAATTATATTTATATCAATATGAAACAAATATAAAAGAAAATATTTAAAAAAAAGTGTAGATTGCTTTTACAAAAGCCTGAAAGACAACATCTTCTCGTGAAAGGATTTGCTCTGTAATTAAGTTGCATCGACAATACGTAGCCTAAGAATACTAATCCGTGTAAATCGCTTTCAATTTTTTTAAATGTAAAAAAATTATATTTATATCAATATATGAAACAAATATAAAATAAAATATTTAAAAAAAAGTGTAGATTGCTTTTACAAAAGCCTGAAAGACAACATCTTCTCGTGAAAGGATTTGCTCTGTAATTAAGTTGCATCGACAATACGTAGCCTAAGAATACTAATCCGTGTAAATCGCTTTCAATTTTTTTAAATGTAAAAAAATTATATTTATATCAATATGAAACAAATATAAAATAAAATATTTAAAAAAAAGTGTAGATTGCTTTTACAAAAGCCTGAAAGACAACATCTTCTCGTGAAAGGATTTGCTCTGTAATTAAGTTGCATCGACAATACGTAGCCTAAGAATACTAATCCGTGTAAATCGCTTTCAATTTTTTTAAATGTAAAAAAATTATATTTATATCAATATAAAACAAATATAAAATAAAATATTTAAAAAAAGTGTAGATTGCTTTTACAAAAGCCTGAAAGACAACATCTTCTCGTGAAAGGATTTGCTCTGTAATTAAGTTGCATCGACAATACGTAACCTAAGAATACTAATCCGTGTAAATCGCTTTCAATTTTTTTAAATGTAAAAAAATTATATTTATATCAATATAAAACAAATATAAAATAAAATATTTAAAAAAAAGTGTAGATTGCTTTTACAAAAGCCTGAAAGACAACATCTTCTCGTGAAAGGATTTGCTCTGTAATTAAGTTGCATCGACAATACGTAGCCTAAGAATACTAATCCGTGTAAATCGCTTTCAATTTTTTTAAATGTAAAAAAATTATATTTATATCAATATGAAACAAATATAAAATAAAATATTTAAAAAAAAGTGTAGATTGCTTTTACAAAAGCCTGAAAGACAACATCTTCTCGTGAAAGGATTTGCTCTGTAATTAAGTTGCATCGACAATACGTAGCCTAAGAATACTAATCCGTGTAAATCGCTTTCAATTTTTTTAAATGTAAAAAAATTATATTTATATCAATATAAAACAAATATAAAATAAAATATTTAAAAAAAGTGTAGATTGCTTTTACAAAAGCCTGAAAGACAACATCTTTTCGTGAAAGGATTTGCTCTGTAATTAAGTTGCATCGACAATACGTAACCTAAGAATACTGATCCGTGTAAATCGATTTCCGATTGTATGTCGGGCAAGCCTTCATTCGCGATCCGATCACGATTGCGGTGACCACGACGCACATTGTTTCGCAATCAAAGGGGTATTGTTTCCAGCGTCGTGGTCCGTTGATATCAATCAACGCCTCCGCTGCCAATATTCGCGAATGCAAGAGGAAATATATGTAATTAACAGAAGGACAAGGTTTTACCGCTTTGCGGCCATCAAGTTTAATTTGTCGGAACTATCGTGTGTTTAATCACTGAAAAGCTAACTGAACAAGTTATTGCGCAGAAAGCGTTAGCCTTCGTCAAAAATATTGGAATTACGTATCATCATAAAAGGGATACTCGAGACTTTTAGAGAGAATGACATAAAGGAAAAATAATTGGATACATTTTCGGCGACTCTATCTCGAGTCGATTACATTTCCGTTCACGAAAAGCCTTCGGATGTCGTAATTCGACACCTTGATGGATCAAAGTCGCGGTATAACATTGTTAAAGGGGATTCGTTCCCTCTCATCGTCTTTCCGCTTTTCCCTTCTTGATTTCGACTGACGGTATTTCTCGAGCCTGTTGGAAAAAAACTTGGAAAAGAAGAATGTGAAATAGTCTTACCTCTCCCGAGGCAACCGCCTCACCCGGAATGAAGAGTTCTGGGTAAACGTTGTCTAGGTACCACTTGAACGACTTGCATCCCAGTTTCTTCCTAAGGGTCTTTCGCTCCGATACGTCGCCGTAATTCCCCTACGAAAATTCAATATACAGCCAGGTCTTGGAATCATGCTTATAATTCGACAAAGATAAAATTGTGGTAAAAATGCGAGAAATTCAGAGATATGTTATAATAAAAAAAAAAGTTATTTGAATTTTTATATAATTATTTTATAATAATTTAATTTTTTATAATAATTATCAATTGTTAAAAATAAATGCGAATAAAATCAAATCATAACTCGCAAGATTTTTTTATTCTTTAGGGTAAGAGAAATATTCGTTAAAAATCTTTATTTTAAATTAAATTATAGACTAAAGGATTTTTAATTAATGCAAAGAATACTATTTGTCTACTTGTTTTTCTCTTTACGTAATAATAATATTTTTCTAAATAATAAAACGCCACGTATCAACATCAGGCTATCTTGTGAACTTGTGTCTGACCGAATCGTTGATATTACTACTGCGAATCACTATTACTTGCGAATAGGAATAGAGGCATGTAAGCAAAAGAAGGATTTATATCATTATTTTATGAAGCCATCCATGAAGCCGACATTCTTGATAGATTCGATCATTACATAGAGCGGCGTGCTTACGGAAGCGATTTATTCTCTACGCTTCGATTTATCTCGTCGATTGGATCTCGACAGGAAAGTAAGAGCGGACAAGCATCAAGGATAAATGACAGATCGTTATAGAGGGGGACGAAAGAAATGTCCTTCAGGAGAGCGAGGACATGCGCGCGAGCCTTAAAAGCACTTGGCACGTTTATGGCCCTTTTTTACGACGAGTCTTGGTCTACGATCCTCTCCATCATCGGCCACCTTTATCGTCATCCTTCATCCTATTTTTACCAAACCGCTCGGCCAATGTTTACGAGCAAGATGGATTAAAAAAAACATAGCCACGAAGCTTTATCAGTACACTATAATTTGAAACGAGATATCTTTATTTATAGTTAAAAATAAAGTATTATTAATTATTTCTTTCTTTTTCACTGCAGCTTATTTATTATATCATATTGTCCTCAAATGTAGTAAAATTTCTTTTCGTAATATCTTCGCTGCATCTTTCTACGTTACAAATATTTTTCTCTGTTTATTTATGCAAATATTTTAATGTGCTACATTTTTATTTCCCTTTAAAATCGCGAAAAGTCTTTCTATTGTCTTAGAATTTCTGCCCCGAGTCTCGTATTGATCTGCCAGCGACGAAACGAGATATTCTAATTGTCCCCTCGTTGCATTCTCACGTAGGGAAAAGTCATATATGAAAGGAAGGTTATACAAGCGACGATACACAAGTACCTACCTTGTCGTGACCTATCCTCTGATAGTAGTACTTGGCGTACTCGTCCAGCCACACTTCGCTCAGCCTTATGCTGTTCCTCTTGAGCACGTTCACGCCGCTGCGCCACTTGTAAGGCGAACGTTTCCTAAAGATGTGACCTACGTGCGAGCACGGCACGATTTCCAGGGTGCCTGTGAGCGTACCGAGTTATTAGATTAACATTTTCGACTGTTTATTACGTTCATTGTGTCGCTCGTTAATCCGAGAATCGCGCATAGAGACGTAGAATATCAACTATCTGTACAAAAGTATCAATATTTGTGCGTGATAATTACAGATTAATGAAAGTACAAAATTAAAGTATAATATGTGCAAAAAATTCTTCCGTTAAAAGTAAAAAGAATTGATACAATTTTCCTAAATCAGAGACGCGATATTAAATTATTACTCTTGTATTATTATTCTTACATCGGTTCGACTAATTTAAAAGTGCAGTTTTCTAAATTGGGAAGAAACACGAGATCCCTTTTAAATATTACTTATCAGACCTACCTCCGCACATCCAGGTTTTAAAGGATAATTCAAGATTTTCGCCGCCCCAGATGTCGAACCCGCTGTCGTACGTGCCGATCCGCTCGAAAAAGGCTCGATCTATCGAAAATAGGCCGCCAGCCATCGTTGGCGACCAAACGGGTTCGGCTGGATTTTTGTGTCTCTTTTTCTCCCTCTCCGGCACCGCGTGCCAATTGAACTTGTCAACAAACATTAATATACATCAAGAATTCGTTTACGCAGTTTTGCACAAAATTACCATACGTTAAAATAACGTTATAAAATAAGAACGTTAAAAATATGTCGTGAGGTAAATTATATTCTGTCGGAAAGACGTGTTTCTTTTCAAATTAATCCTCGTATGCATAAAGTGACACACCAAAAATATGCAAGTAGATCTCGTTATTTGAAGACGATTTTTTCTCAATAAAAATCCCTTTATTTTCAATCGCTTATATTCGAAAAAGCTCCAATATTTTTGCCGAGGAAAAATTGTCTCCAAATAACAAAAAAAAAATCTGTTTATATATTTTCCGTGTGACACTTTATATCAGACACTTATATAAGCAGATATGTGAAGAATATTTTTTCTCGAATCATTCATACCGTATCTTAAAATTTTTAGGGATTTCAAGCGAATTCAATGATGAATTTGCATGCCGTCGAGACGGATGCATTCTTTATCGGCTCGAGCTCGCGAAAAGTAGCACGAAGATTTCGTTTACCTGAAGATTCCAATCGAATCCGCCGACATTTACGCCGCCCGAGTCGCGCCAGTGGTATTCTAGGGTGGTGTCGTCTATAACATCGATCACCGGACAAACTACCGTTGTCGGATCGCGTGCGATCCGATCCAGAAGAGGTTCCAACCAACCCTCCGTGCACTCACAGTGGCTATCCAAATACGTGAGTACAGGCGCCTTGGCCGCCGCGGCCCCTAACAAGCGTGCCCTGATAAGGCCCTCTCGTTTATTCGCCCTGATAATCCTCACCTTCGGATAATTCATCATATAGTCTTCCAGCTGACGTTTCAGATGAGCTGCGGAAACAATTAATTTTTGTCACTTGCTATTTGTTTGCGAAATATATATGTCGCGAAAATAAAATAATGTGACGCACGCATGTGTGTGACGTTATTAATGTATTTAATTAAAATCATTTTTTTGCTCTGCGCCAATTTAATTTTCTACATATTTACACATGTTTCTACATCGTCGTATTCTCTTCCGTTATATAAATAAATTCGTCAAATTTAATATTGTTTACACGCACATTGTTCTCTCTATTTTTATTAAAATATTTTATATAAAAAGTACCGACATTTTCTATATTAAACGCTTGTTGTATAATTTATGGTATTTCGTAATATGCGAGGTAGCATTATTGACGGAACCCTTCGTCGTCTATAATGCATCATAAGATTTACTCCAATATTAATTTCACGGAAAAAATTTCATCGGTTTCCTCAACATCGTCTTTTAAATTTCTGCTTCCGATTTCGAACATAAGTTAGCTGCAGGATCTATGCTTCGGCGACGGATATTGCAACAATAAAATCACGTTGCCAGCTTCTCCAGGTTTCTCTAACGTCGATTACATCCTTAATGTTGGATTACGGTTTATTTACGATGTCATTCGCAAGCTGTTGCGGCAACAACAATCACCCATCCCCATCCTAGATTCATACCTTAATCACGATCGATCGATTTAATCGTACGCTAGGTAGAAACAACGATAATCCCGCATAATGGCGTTTTCCTTATATTTATCCGGGCCATTAAGATTTTTTATTGTTAACCTGATAAAAAAGTAACTACCATCGTAGCTTATTAATTTAATAAGGATTATGTATGCTGAGATCTCAGATTAACTTTCAATTCGCCGATAAGATATTTTAAGTAACAATCGATTGCAAAAAATGTAATTTATATTCAAAAGTTTGTTTATCAAATATATATATATAATAAATAAATGTAGCAATAATGAGTATAAATATCCATTGCAAGAGTTATTTTCTTTATCACACATTTTTAATCCTTGTCTTATTAAAATGCACGTACATCCTAGTAGAAAAAAAGTGTTCATATCAATAAAAATTGTGACTAAATGGCTTTGTCTATTATGTCACTTTAGCGGATGTTTCGCGGAGCGGTCTGTTATTTTGCGTTATTTCTGGGCAATTGTAGGCGAGATTTAGATTTATGAGACGCATCCGCCTATAGTTACGCCGGTCGTCGGGCAGCAATTAGCAGACATTCGTGATTTATTCTCCGTTAGATTGGCTTTATGAGGGACTGGGCCACTAATCCTAAGTCCCTACCCTGTAAGCTCGGTTAACTATAGATAGTATAAGGGGATTCGACGGATCAGCGTGTTTCGTGCAGGCGCAATGATTACCCAGGAAGACGTCCGTGTATTTGGAAATGATAGAGATGTCGGTTCTCCCGATTTTACGAACCTTTTGGATAAATTGCGCGCTTGATGAGCTTTAATATAAAGTCATTGTGTTCTTGCTTTTATCCCGCTGTCTTTATATAGCTCGAGATTTCGCATCGACTCACGAAAAGAAATTCCTTCTCTTCTCGTGCTGAAATAGGAAAAATATACAGCGATCGTTGTACGGGAATCGCATCGGGTTCTATGAGTCGAGAAAATATTTCTCTCAAAAATACGTCCGAGTATGTTTAGACGAAGCACGGTTACCGTCGTTAACTGTACTCGAACGAGAAGTGATGGACCGTAAAAGGTCAGAGGTCAGACATTTAATGCGCATGCAATTATAACGTATATATATATATATATATATATATATATATATATGTATGGTATGTATTATATGTATGTGTGCACGGATTCCGCGCGCATTCCGATCCGAATTAATTTCTAATGAATTCCTCGAATACAGAGGCACGCATAAACCGAGCGTAGCCATTATTGCAAATTTCATTATGACTTTGTCGAGCCACATTGTGAGGCGTAGATAATGGAAACGCTCAAAGAGCACCTCGGTCTGTCCTCGTTGAGAGTGCTCATAATTAACTCCATAATTCTCGTCGCCAATCCCCTGTATAAAAGTTAATTATATCGTGCATGCATTTTGTTGAGGAGGATTAAAGCCTTCTCTTGTAAAATTCATTACGTTTTTCTTACAAGTATTTTTTCATCACTAGATTCACTTTATAGTTTTCCGAGATAATATTCAAAGATGTACTAATATCGTTAAAAAGAAATATACGAGATGTAGAATATGTAAAACGATAAAGTAATTATAGATACATGTTAAATCGGTCGTAATACAAAGGACGCAATCTTAAATTAAAATCGTGCACGAATCTCCGTTTATTCGGTTTCCGCTATGAAACAAGAAAAAGAAATACATATACGAGGGATGATATAATATCTCTCTATCTTGATCTCGTTACTGCGATAAAGCAATCGCAGTTGTCTGTTAATAATACCAAGCTAGCTAGGAGATTGCTGAAGTGACTGTGTTTATAGGTTTAACTTCTGGCCGGGCTTACCTTCAGCTTTTAATAGGGATTGTCAGTGACCACCCTGGCTATACATTGTTTCCGTCACGTCGCGTTTTCCTGAATCCGTTTAATCTCGGACACCTTTTCTCTTAAGATTTTTATATTAATTTTTATTATAAAGTAGAATTTCGTGCGATTACAATTGCCTTTTCCGCTTGTTAATGCAGCAATTAAATTGAAAAATAATATTTTTTTTTTATTTGGAAGAGAAACATTACCGCAAAATTTTACCTGTGTGTTATGAAAATGACATTTTATGTATACCTATTAATAAGATGTGTTTTTTAAATATGTACCTATATACATATAAACAAAACATCACAAATAAATAGCTCAAACTCTGTTATATGATTCTCTATATATAATGCAATTATATAATGCAAATTTTTTTACAGTGATTTCTGTATTTTAGATTTATAATTTAGATTTCGATTTAGTGGCTGTTGTACAATATATAAAGTCAGTTTATTCGAAAATATGCAGACACATTGGAGCTATAATTGCCTTTTTGCATACAAACAATGCGTATTTGAACATACATATTTGCTTCGCCCGAATTCACAAAATTGCGTATTTGATATACTTTTTTCGCGTAAATGCCTTTAAGCGCAAACATGTATTCTGATAGATAAATGTAAAATACAAAATAAATACAATAATACAATAATAAATAATCACAAATATAACTTTTCAAATAAATAAAAAAATCTAACATTTAAATAAATAATGATTATTTTTTCGACAAAAAAATATATATAGCCATATACAGCAATTTTCCATATTCTGAAACCAACAATAATGCGCGTTCTCCTGTCATTAAAAAAAATCACCAAAACTTCAAAAAAAAAAAAAAAAACACGTTTTAAACATTTGTAAATTTTTGGTATAATGTAACAGTGCGTGTCCACGTTCAATTTTGGACAACGCGAGCAAACAGGAGCATTGATTCTAGAGAGAAAGAGATAGAGAGAGTCGATTGCAGAGATTGTATGGAGCTCTCTCGTAATTTTCAGAGAATCTGTGTAGCAGGTCGAGAGTTTCTCTTCTATTCACGTCGTGGCAATACAGTGGAGAGATGGATCGCAATTAATCGATCTATCCCGAAACTACGAAACACTGTCGCGATAACGAATCACCGTGCTGAATGGAGACCCGTGGTTGCACGAACAAGTACGCGAATATAATAGCCCGCGGTCTCTGTTCGCTCTGTGCTTACGAGTTTCCCGACGTTCTACCGAGGATTTTTCATCTCTCAACGATGTGAGCTATACGAGGATTTATGACGCTACGGAGCCGATATGTTATTCCGCTTCGATCGCGCATAAAAGGTATTTCGTTTTGAATCCAAAGTATGAGCGCGGTTCTCTCCTGGTGATAACGCGAGAATAACTTGCGCTCGCTTCTCGTTTTACGTAAAATATTTTAAATATTTGCATATTATAGGCTACGTGACGCGTATAATTCATGTTTAATATAATAAGACATAATCATAGAAGTAATTCATATTTTCAATTTTTTTTTATAGACATTCGCCTTTATAAATGATATATTCCTTACATTTTTAAAAGATATTTTAAAATAAAGCTCAATAAATATTATATAATTATTGTCATAATAATTTAATATATTACCACGTAAATTATATTATTAAGAAAAATTAAAATAATAATTTGTTAAATATACTTTGACGAGAATTAAATTTACTTTAACAAGAATTTACTTACGCATATCAGAGAAATCATCCACAAGAATGATCTCTTGTATGAGATGCTCCGGCGATCTGTCCAGAACGGAATGCACGGTACGCAATAACACGGACCAAGCTTCATTGTGGAAGCAAATAATTACCGCTGTAGGTGGAAGGTCCTTCAAGTATCTACCAGACTCCTTACACCTATAACACAATAATATCCGAACAATTAAATTAATTGTCAACGATCGTGCGTGTTGCAAATAAAAGATAAAGCACTACTTATTATATGGTTAAAAATATATTTCAATGCGACCAATATTATGCTGAAAACAAAGCAAAATATGTCTGCTTCTGCTCTCATGTTCCGCTAATAAAATTAGCTTTGATGGTAGATTGCGCAATTGTTTGCAGAGCAAACGTTTATATCAATTTAGTGAAACCGAATCAAGTTCTTGATCTGTAGACCGCAACGAGGAGGAGTGATTACGTGGAACCGATATGTACCAGAAGATATGTCAGGAAAATACGGTAATACGATTAAGGCAGGGGAATGTTTGCAGACTGAACGTCCACGAGATATATACTCGCCCCGAAGCTTACCGCAAAATGAATTCCAGAGATGCAGGATTGCGACTTCCGGACTCGGTTAAACACACAGCAGATCCGTCGCGGTTTATGGATACAGTACATAAAAGTTTCCATATGCCTTCCTTCGGCTATTCGCGCGCGCGCGCGCGAGAGAGAGAGAGAGCTCGCATTTCTATTTATTAACATTTTCTCGTCAAGGAATCGTATATATAATACATACATTTATTCAATGTTTACGTTAAGCTCTATTTGCAACTTCATCGTCTTTTAGTAATCGATACTAATATGTTTAATACGCGTATATATATACGTTTTGCGATTTACAATGGTCGTAATTAGCTTTAATATGGTTACACGTGTGTTGCATTCGCGAGATAATTATCACAGATTAATTCGAAGTATTCGTTTGCAATTAACACATTATATTCTATAACAGCGAGAATATAAGTACATTGTATCGTGCTAATGATGCAATTACGAGAAGTGTCATTCGATAACGGCCCGTTATTGACCATCTGTGAATTATTTCAATTAACAGCTGCCAGTAAACGCTCACCGCTCACGAGAACACTATTTGTCAAATTTCCGATTTATCCTTCCGTAGTGTATTGAAGCGAGTAGCTACTCGCTATGGATGAAATCCCTTCATAATCAGTTTCCGTGCTGTGTTAGAGATGCACTTGTGTCAGATCAAACATAAAGTTTAACGCAGCTATACGTATATGCATGCGTTTTCTCTATGACATTGCAAATAACAGATAGAGAAGATGTATAAATAGCGATTTAACGGAAAAACGGTTAATAAAACGGAGTTTCGTAACAAATAACATAATTAAATAACAGAATCGCAAACGATGATAAATCAAATAGGGAAGAGGAGAAAGTAGTCGAGCTTTTCATTCTGCAGACCGAAACAGTTACAATCCGATTGTACAGACACATGAAAAAGATTATTGAAATATAATGTTTTGAAGACGGAGTTTTCTATTTTTCTCTCTCCGCAACGGAAATTACAGGGTAGAATGAAATTTGTTCCACGTTAATAATATAATATTAAACAGCGACGTACAACGAGTGTTGAATATTATTTTCCGTTATTGTATGTAGATCACATTTGTATAAAGCAAATGTTTAACAATTCTAAATAAATAATAATAAACGATATATGTCAATTCCTCTCTCTCTCTCTCTCTTTCTCTTTTATTGAATTTCGTGCAGTTACAGAAATTTCAAATTTATTATCGATCAACAGATAGCTTTCGCAATTTTCCAAACGTCTGTGTGTTATTATTTCTGTACAACATAATAAAGTTATGACTTATGACAAGACTGTCACGCGATACAACTAATAATTTATATGATGTGGCATAAAATAATAAAGAGATTTTTAAAAGACTGTTATTTCAAATGGTTATATTTTGACAATAAAAACAATTATAAATTCATTAAGCTATATAATAATAAGATGTTAAATCATATTCAAATGGAAAATAGCTTAAATAAAAATTTAATACAATTAATAATTTAAAAATGTCTATTATATCTCAGAAAATGTAATTTTAGCGGAGACAATCAATCAAATATTAATAATGTTGGTCTTATTTGAGTTATATGTCACTCTTAAGTAAGTATTTATCAATCTCCAGGTCTGCGTTGTTAAATAAAATCTACAAGTACATCTGACAACTGATGTATAAGCAGATGAATAAGAGATTTCAAATATACCGTAAAATTGCAATTCGCTGTAAATAAATAATTATCTCGAAATTTATTAGAAAAATTGCAAAATGTCGCAATAATTTTGTAAGCTTTTGCAGATTAGAATATAAATAACTCGACGAAAGTGATTAATGTGAAAGTGCACAGAACAGAGCGATGCGAATTTATTGATTTTCATGTATGTATATATTCCCTGAAATAATGCTCCATCAGCATAACGTATGCTTCTTACGTTATCATTGATCGCGTTTATCTGATGCGCCTTAACCATGCATCAGATAAGCTTTTCTAGGCTAGAAATGCGAAAGAGAAAGAGAGAGAGAGAGACTCACGAAGCTGAATCAACGTTATTTGCATTTGCGTTCCCTCCTCCTCTCATTCCGCATTAGTTTGTTTCAATTTTAACAGAAAAGCTGGTGAAATTTCCATTTTTAAATACAGCGGGCCGCTGCGTTTTTAATTTCCAACATTGTCGGTGATAAATTTCGCGGTAATAAAACCGCTCCCGCGCGGAGAAAATTCTACTCGCAATTTGTCATTATTATCGCACATAACTCTCGCAGCAATAACACACTTCTTAATCTTCTTTTCTATGAGCCACTTTTAATCCTCCGTTATGAGTATCGTTAAGTTACGACATTAATATATAAGTAGTGATATAATTACTGTAACTTACTTAAAAATTATAATAACCAAAGTATGAACTCGTGTACTTGCAAGATTTATCCCGTGTAAGATTAAAAATTTCTCTCTGACACGTGAAATCCGCACGCACGAAGAATGATTAATTTATGCCGACGTATCAATCGATTATAAAAATCCAATTCAGAGAGCGGCGTTAAATATTATAACAATAACGTTCAATTGAATACGAGCTTTTGTAAAGAGTGATTTCATTATTCCGAGTAGAGAAGAGAATAAAGGAAGGGTTTCGCTGATCAATGCGTATTTATACTACTGAGAGTAAATTATAACAATATCGTTACAATCGTATTAATATCGCGAGCGCGGAATATAAATCGCGCACGCCGCACGGCGTGCCTCGAACAAAGTGGGAAATCGCTTAAGCCAGTAAACGCATCGATCGTTTCCAGTCGATTGACGTTCAACAGCGATATCCTCTTTCCCGTCGACAAAAGAGAGCCCATTGTTGGACGGCGCACTCGGGATGGGTAGCTCGAAATCAGCCACGGATATCGAATGAGAGGAGCGGCTCCTTCGCGCGTTCAGCACATTCGGCGATCAGCCCTCTTCGACGAACACACACAACCCTCATCCCCACCCTGTCATCCCAATCGTCTAAACCCCGCGAGGCGTTGCGCTCGATCAAACGCGTCACGTTTCATGCGCTGCATCCCTACCAAGATCCGACGGATGTGTAGGATTCTATTTGCAAGTCTCGCTCTTCGCCGTAGGCATCTCGCCTACGGGAATCCCGACTTGTCTTCGTTCGCGGAAATTCAAGAAATAGGCGTGCGCGATTTAAGTGAAAGTCAAATACTCTCTGTGTGTTAAGAGAATCGGAGAGCTTTAAGGAAATGAACGTCGCGCGCGCGAGAAGAATCGACGATTCGAGTTGACAGATATATAATTAAATTCGTCGCCGCGCGCGCGGTCAAGATTAAAATGCAATAAATTATTGCGAGTTTAATAGTTGAAATCTCTATTAAAAGTTAATAAAAGCTCGGCCGAATATATAATTTGTCTTTCTTAAAGTTTGAAAAAGAGTTATATAATGGAACTTATTGATCTGCAATATTCCAAGCTTTTCCATCTCATCCCCTTTTTCATACCGCAAATGTAATGCGAGAAAGAGAGAGAGAGAGAGAGCTAAAAAAACTTGCAAGGCTATCGGAAAATACAGAATGAGATTTACAATCTAATTTAGTTTCCGAGCGTAATTATATTATTAAAGAAAAACTTCTGCCAAGGGCAGCATTGCAAAATATCTGTTTCATCGTCTCGCAGGAAAAGATAAATGAAAGTTTCGTGAAGCTAATTGCGGCTTCTGTGTAAGCATCCTTCTTGCCTTTCAAGAATCGTTTGTCTTCTGATTATGTTACAACATCCAACGCAATTTTTACAAATAGCCTTATGTTTTCTTTCGTATTTAACTTGATGAATATATATCGTCGACAATCTCACACAAAACAACAAACTGTTGCTAATCTCAATATTTTTTTTCAATATACAATCTTCTGGATGACCAACACTTTCTCTTATTGCGAAAAAATTCAACGTTTTAACCACCGATTGTAATTCTTTTCAAGTATAAGAGGAATATAAAGATGAATTATTTATAGATGGAAAAGATGAAATCGCATTTTTATTTTTCGCCTATTGTCGGAAATAATTAATAACAACAACACCGCAAATCGCCAAGGGCAGCATTCGAAAGTAACCCCGATCTCAGAAATCGTAAAGCGGAAAAATTGGATGCCTCGCGATATCCCATGTAAGTTACGCTACATTTGGCACCCTTGGAAAATGGCCTCGAATCTAAAGAATCCAGAGGATTCCTCGTCATAAGCGATGGATAAGGGCGCTTTTTTTTGTACGAGTTTACGGGACCATTGGAGGAAATAGATCCACATTTTTAAGGAGACACCGATAGGAGAACGACCGAAATACTATAGTGCGAAAACAAGTATGATAAAAATTTACGCACGGAGCCCGCGTGAATTCGAATGACTTTCCGTCATTACGAAGGTCGCGCTCTTACAAAAGTTTTGAGAGACGAAAATATACTCGGCCAAGTATTGCCAGTAAAATCAAACAACAAAAGGTAAAGGCAACCAACTCCTGCTGAGAATTTATACGAGGAAAGTTGGAATTACTTGGAAGGTAACAGCGGCGCAAAGTCATATCCATTGTAGTATGTTATATCCCAAATT